GCATCGATGTTTCTCTCTGTCTTTCCCTCTCTCTTCCACTCTCTCTATGATATCCTCAAATGAGGATAAAAAGAGGAATTGAAAAATGACCACTGTTCTGCACTAACCTGCCATTCTCCTTGGAAGCTGTGTTCCTGAACTCAGCAGCAGGTTCGGAGCCCGTGGCTCGTGGCACGTGGCCATGACCGTGGCTGTGGGGTGAGTCTGCCCTTAAGCTTCCTGCCTGTCAGCCTGTCATTCTCATCCATGTCCAAGGCATCTCACCATTTATTTTCTACAAAATGAATTTTAAAAGTTTATGGTGACGGTCTAATTGCTTTAAAATGCATTAGCTTCAATTCTCAATTGCTCCTAATTATAATATGATTTAAATATATATTTAGAGCGACTAACAGTGATTTTTATCAGAGGCATCGGATTATCACTGAGAGCACATCCAGCTCCTTCCTTTAACGGGATGAGCATCTAATTACCATGCAATCAGTCGAAGGCTGCCATAGACGCCACACTGAGATTCTGAGATTCTGTCATAAAGCTGAGGGATGTTACTGGGGACCTCCTTAGGGTGGGACACGCCTCAGTGTTCATGGTTCGTTAATTAACACAAAAAAATACAAAACAGGAGGGCAGAGCAGTGAAACTTTCACGGGGCTCTGAATCTTATTTTCGATTCCCAGTCCTTCCCTCGTGTGAGTGACGGAGTGTCACTTCTGCACAGAAGTAGGGATTCAGTAAAAAATCCCAGAGAGCACAATCGCCCCGATGCAGACCACAGCCGGTGGTGGGCTGTTTAATAAGCGTGCTCTGGGCTTCGCTGGAATTCAGGGAGACAGGGATCTGTTTTGCTCGCGTTTTACTTTATTTTGTTTCATCCTTGGTTCTTCCCGAGGGAGAAGCACACCATTTTCAAATCCGCAGTAAGTTACTGACAAGGCGGGCTCCAACCTCACTCTGCTCAGCTGTGGCGACAGATGGCGCCGTGTGAGAAGCGGGTAGTGGGGCCGTGTGAGAAGCGGGCAGAGACGGGGGCTCAGGCAGAGAGAGACGGGGGCTCAGGCAGAGAGAGACGGGGGGTCGGCAGAGACGGGGGCTCGGGCAGAGAGAGACGGAGGCTCAGGCAGAGACGGGGGCTCGGGCAGAGAGAGACGGGGGCTCAGGCAGAGATGGGGGCTCAGGCAGAGACGGAGCCGGCCCTGAGGCCCTGCTCTGTCTGGTGCCCAGATTCCCGCTCGGAGCCCAGAAATCACTGTGAATTCCCTTCTTGTTCTTTGTGTTGCCCGGGCTCAGATCACGTCTGCAGCTCTCTGATCAGTTCTGGCTTCCCGACGAATTAAAACTTCCTAATTGTTAGGCCAAATCGTTACCGGGATTGATCGCTGATTAAGGGAACACGTGAGAAATCAGGGCAGCTAATTACGTGCAGAACCAGCGTGACCCCCGTGGGAAGCCGTGTCTGAGGACGGATCGTACCGATCGATGGTCCATTTTCTCCTCTCCCGTCGGACACGGCTGAATGCCCGCGCCCGCTGCTGGGACTCGAGGACAATATTTCACTGTCAGATCCACTCCACGTCATTCCCCACCCGGCGCCTTCAGGACCAGGGCTCTCTGCGTTTACAGCGCGTCCTGGGCTTCGGCTCTGACAGAGCTCACACGTCGAGGATAATGACACCTCGGGGACAGTTCCCGGGCCCCTGAGCCGGGCGCTGAGCTGGCGGGAGCGGAGAGGGAGGGGACGTCGGCGAGAGGAAGGACCTCCCCCACCTGTTGCCACCCACCCCCACCCCCACCACCCAGGTTTTATTTCTCCTCCAAGAAGGCAATCGATTTTTAAGGCAATTTTTTATTTTAAAATGAAGTTAAAGAGATTAAAGTTTTACCTTTTGCCTCTGCTTTTGGGACCCAGGGACTCAGGGTCCCTTGAAAACAACCTCAACCTCCTCATTAGAAATGGAGGTGCAGCCGAAACCAGTTTGGCCCAGTGGTAGAACATCGGTCTGCGGACTGAAAGGTCCCAGGTTTGATTCCGGTCAAGGGCATGTACATTGGTTACGGGAACATCCCTGGTAGGTAGGGGGTGTGCAAGAGGCAGCTGGTCGATGTTTCTCTTTCATTGACGTTTCTAGCTCTCTATCCCTCTCCCTTCCTCCCTGTAAAAAATCAATAAAATATATATTTTTTTAAATGGGGGTGTGGGGTGAGGAGGGAGTGTGAGGTGAGGAGGGGGTGTGGGGTGAGGTGTGAGGTGAGAAGGGGGTGTGGGGTGAGGAGGGAGGTGAGGAGGGGGTGTGGGGTGAGGTGTGAGGTGAGAAGGGGTTGTGGGGTGAGGAGGGAGGTGAGGAGGGGGTGTGGGGTGAGGAGGGAGGTGAGGAGGGGGTGTGGGGTGAGGTGTGAGGTGAGGAGGGGGTGTGGGGTGAGGTGTGAGGTGAGAAGGGGTTGTGGGGTGAGGAGGGAGGTGAGGAGGGGGTGTGGGGTGAGGAGGGGGTGTGGGGTGAGGAGGGAGGTGAGAAGGGGGTGTGGGGTGAGGTGGGAGGTGAGGAGGGGGTGTGGGGTGAGGTGTGAGGTGAGAAGGGGGTGTGGGGTGAGGAGGGAGGTGAGAGGGGGTGTGGGGTGAGGAGGGGGTGTGGGGTGAGGAGGGAGGTGAGGAGAGAAGGGGGTGTGGGGTGAGGAGGGAGGTGAGGAGGGGGTGTGGGGTGAGGAGGGAGGTGTGGGTGAGATGTGGGGGTGAGGAGGGGGCATGTTACCTTCCATTAGTGGGTTCATTCATTCAATCGTTCGTCCATGGAGGATCCACTACAGTAATAAGGTCACAGCCCTGGCTGGTTTAGCTCAGGCCTGTGGGCTAAAGGGTCCTGGGTTCGATTCCCAGTCAGGGCACAGGCCTGGGTTGTGGATTCAGTCCCCAGTGGGGCGTGCTGATGCACCAATCAATGATCTCCCTTCCTCTTTGAAATCAATATCTATCATCTATCACATATTATCTATCATCTATCTATTACCTATCTATCTATCATCTATCATCTATCTATATAGAGATAAGGAATACAGTGTCTTTTGTGACTTCCGAAGATCTTGTGAAATATCATCAGAATTCACAACAATGACCGCTGTATTTCAGAGTGCGTGGACGGGCAGATGCCATGCTGACCCTCCTCGGAGCGAGCCTTCTTAACATGCAGGTTAAGTAGATTATTAATATGCAGGTTATTAAGTAGATTGTAATTCATCGTGCGGGGCACACCCGTGGCTTAAAGATTCCTCCAGGAAGCACGGCTGATGAGCCGTAATTATTTTCCTGGAGTTGGAAGAATAATCAAACTTTCACTCTTTCCTGCCGGGGGGTGGTCAGGGGGGTGTTTTCCGAAATGTGGCACAGCTCTTCACAAAGGAATCACGCTCACCTGAGCTCTCACCTCGATCCCAAACGAACCCCAAAGGAGATCGTGGGTGGAGTGTGGAGGCGCACACATCCAGCTGAGTAACACTGGGGTGCCCCCGTTGTCCCCCACAGACAGCCCTCCCCAGGGCAATGCAGCCACCACAGATGTGGGCACCAGCAAGGTCGGCATACAAAGCAGCAAGGCCAGCTGTGTGGCTCAGTGGTTGAGCGTCAACCTAGGAACCAGGAGTTCAGGGTTCGATTCCCCGTCAGGGCACAGGCCTGGGTTGTGGGCTCAACCCCAAGCAGGGGGCATGCAGGAGGCAGCCGATCCATGGTTCTCTCTCATCATGGATGTTTCTCTTTCTCTCTCCCTCTCCCTTCTGCTCTGAAATCAACAAATATAGATAAATAGATAGATAGCTGGATGATAGAGATATACAAATATATTTTAACGGAGCACGAGAAGCACACACACACACAGAACGTAATTTTCAAAAGGAGAAGAAGTTGCAGACCCTGGTTGTGTAGACTCTCACATGTCAGAGCCTCTGGAGCCGCCGACCCGGGGCCCACGGGCGCGACGAGGCTGCAGCGGCTGGGGAAGAGGGTGTTTGGCTGAAGGGAGGGAGGGAGGGAGGGAAGGGCCAGGCCAGCTGCGGAGCCCAGGTGCTCTGGGCCCACCCGGAGCCCTTCCCCTGAGCGGCTCCAGAACGGCTCAGCAGTCCCAGGGGTCAGTGTTCCCCCTCGTTCTACACACGAAATGATTTGGTCCAAGCAGTGCCTTCTGCAGCCACTCAGCCTAATTATTTCCTACTCGAGGCCCCGGGGCACGAAGGTTCATGCAAGAATTCTGAAACCCTCCGTGAGGGGCTCAGGGGACCCCTCGGCTCTCTGCACCCCCACCCCCCACCCCCACCTCACACCGCCAAATCCAGCAGGCCTGCCTCCGAGGGCGGGAGCCCGGCTCTCAGGAGACGGCTCAGGTCCTGTTTGCGCGACCACAGCGAGACTCAGGTGCAGACGGCAGAATCGCCGTCTGCATCCCCCGGCGTGCGTTCCACAGACGAACTGCGTGGCCCCCATCTCCATCCCAGGCATGAGGCGGTGAGCACACGCCTGGAGATGGACCCGTGTCCCTGCCCAGCACACGGACTGCTGGGGGTGAACACGGGCTGGGACCGGCCTGAGCATGACGGCCTTTGGTCTGAATCGTTTATGTTCTTCTCTTTGAAAAACACACGTGGCCCTAACCCCGTGGTCAGCAAACTGCGGCTCTTTGGCCCCTTGAGTGTGGCTCTTCCACAGAACACCACGGCCTGGGCGAGTCTGTTTTGAAGGAGTGGCGTTAGAAGAAGTTTAAAAAATGTGGCTCTCCAAAGAAATGTCCACCGTTGTGCTGTTGATGTTTGGCTCTGGTGACTAATGAGTTTGCCGACAACTGGCCTAGCCAGGTGGCCCAGTGGGTAGAGCGCCGTCCAGCAGATCAAAGGGTTCTGGGTTCGATTCCCGGCCAGGGCACAGGCCCGGGTGGCCGCGGATCCGTGGCTCCCGCTCCCCTCCGCTCCGACATCAGTGAACACGTGCTAACGCCGGCCCGGCTCACCCCCTGCCCCCGCAGGCGGCGTGTTCGAGGCTGCGGAGGACGAGCCCGCGCCCGCCGAGGAGCTGGCCTTCAGGCTCGCCGTCGCCAGCGTCAACCGGAACCGCGGCCTGGCTCCCAACGCCACCCTCAGCCCCGCCGTGCGGAGGACCGCGCCCTTCGACAGCTTCCAGGCCTCGCAGAGAGGTACGCTCACGTCCGAGCCCGGCCGGGCGCACGTTGCTCCGTAAACACACGTGGACTGCGTGAGGCGCACGCTGGGCCGGTGGAGCGAGGCCTGGCTGAGCCGGGCCCTGGCAGCTCCGTGCTGAAATCCGGGCGGCGCAGCGGCTCCGACGCCCTTGGGCGGTGCCACCCGCATCCCCTGGCCGGCCGGGTCGGCACCAGCCGGCTCTCTGGCCTTTCCTGCCGGAGCCGGAGGCCTGCAGCCGCTCCTGTGGCCACGCTGCCCTCGCTGCCCCTGCAGCGACACAGCCACTCCCCGCGTTCGCTCCGGGAGGGCGGGGGCGAGCTGAGGCTCCTGGCGGCCCCGGCCAGGCCCGGGGTTTAGACTCCGCCTGTGCTCGGCCGGTGGCTCCATGGCTGAGCATTGACCTGTGCGCCAGGAGGTCAGGGTTCGATTCCCGTCGGGGCACAGGCCCGGGTTGTGGGCTCCATCCCCAGTGGGGGGCGTGCAGGAGGCAGCCGGTCCGTGATTCTCTCTCATCATGGATGCTTCTATCTCTCCCTCTCCCTTCCTCTCTGAAATCAGTAAAAATACTTTTTAAAAGACAGACTCCACCTCATGAGTGGTGAGGACACGAGGCCAGGGTCCGGTGACCTGCAGGCGCTGCCCCCTGGTGCTCCTCGCCGGCCCTGCATCCCCGTCCCTGGCCCCGTCCCCGTATCCGTCCCCATCCCCGTCCCCGTCCCCGTCCCCATCCCCGTCCCCATCCCCGTCCCCGTCCCCGTCCCTGTCCCCCGTCCCCGTCCCCGTCCCCGTCCCCATCCCCGTCCCCGTCCCCGTCCCCGTCCACGTCCCCGTCCCCCCCCCCGTCCCGTCCCCGTCCCCGTCCCCGTCCCCGTCCCCGTCCCCGTCCCCATCCCCGTCCCCGTCCCCGTCCCCGTCCTCCCGTCCCCATCTCCCCCTCCCCGTCCCCGTCCCCGCCGTCCCCAGTCCCCGTCCCCGTTCCCGAAACCGTCCCCATCCCCAGTCCCGCGCCGTCCCCATCCCAGTCCCCAGCCACGTCCCCATCCCCGTCACCGACCCCCATCCGCCCCCCCGGAACCGTCCCCGTCCCCGTCCCCGTCCCCGTCCCAATCCCAGGCTTCCCGTCTGCGTCGCCCCACCGTCCACGTCCCGCCCCCATCCCCGCCCCGTCCCCTTCCCAGCCCCCATCCCCGTCCCGGTCCCCTCCCCGTCCCCGTCCCCGTCCCCATCCCCGTCCATCCCCTCCCCACCGCCCTCCCCGTCCCGGCCCCCATCCCGTCCCCTCCCTCCCGTCCCCCTCCCCGTACCTGTCCCCGCCCGTCCCCGTCCCCGCCCAGTCCCATCCCGCCCCAACCCGTCCCCTCCCCCTCCCCGTCCCGCCCCGCCCCCCGTCCCCGTCCCCGTCCCCGTCCCCGTCCCCATCCCCGTCCCTGCCCCCGTCCCCTTCTGTGGGCTCGAGGTCTGGGGCTCTGGAGGCTGGTGTGAGCCTGCAGGTGGAGGGGGGGCAGGGGGATCCACAGGAATTCACAGCTCCCTCTCTCCCTCCTCCTCTCTCTCCCTCCCTCAGTCCTCACTTCTCTCGCTCCCTCCCCTTCTCTACCTCTCCCTCCCCCCTCTCCCTCCTCTATCTCCCTCCCTCTCCCTCTCTCTCTTCCTCCCCTCCCCCCCCTCCGCTCTCTCTCGCCTCTCTCCCTCTCTCCTTCCCTCCCCCTCTCCCCTCCTCCCTCCGCCTCTCCTATCCCTCCCTCCCCCTCTCCCGCCTCCTCTCTCTCTCCCTCTTCTCTGCTCGCCCCCCTCTCCCCTCCTCCCTCTCCCTCCTCCTCTCTCTCTCCCTCCTCCCCTCCCTACTCCTCCCCCTCTCCCTCCTCCTCTCTCTCTCCCTCTCCCTCTCTCTCTCCCTCCCCCTCTCCCTCCTCCTCTCTCTCTCCCTCCCCCTCTCCCTCCTCCTCTCTCTCTCCCTCTCTCTGCTCTGCCCCCCCCCTCTCCCTCCTCCTCTCCCTCCTCCTCTCTCCTCTCCCCCCTCCTCCCCTCTCATCCCTCCCCCTCTCCCCCCTCATCGCTCTCGCCCTCGCTCCCTCCCCCTCTCCCTCCTCTCCTCTCTCCCTCTCCCGGACTCTCTCTCTCCATCTCATCCCTCTCTCTCTCCCTCCCATCTCCCTCTCCTCTCTCTTTTCTCCCCCTCTCCCGCCTCCTCGCGCTCTCCCTCTCCCTCTCTCTTCCTCTCTCTCCCTCCCCCTCTCCCTCCTCCTCTCTCTCTCCCTCTCTCTGCCCCCCCCCAGCCTGCGACCAGCTGGCCCTGGGCGTGGCCGCACTCTTCGGCCCCGGGCACGGCCCCGCGGCCGGCGCGGTGCAGTCCGTGTGCCAGGCCCTGCAGGTGCCCCACATCCAGACCCGCTGGCCGCACCCCCCGGCCGACGCCCGCGGCGCCTTCCACGTCAGCCTGCACCCCGAGCCGGCGGCCCTGGGCCGGGCCGTGCGGGACCTGGTCCTGCGCCTCGGCTGGCGCGACGCGACCCTGGTGTACGAGGACGGCACAGGTAGCTGCGCGGGCGGCGCCGGCCGGGACCCCTCCCCGAGGCGGCTCGGACCTGGAACAGGCTTTCCTTCCTGCCCCCTCTCCCCCCCAGCACCCCTCCCCCCTCCCCCCCAGCACCCCCTCCCCCCTCCCACCCAGCACCCCTTCCCCCCTCCCACCCAGCACCCCCTCCCCCCTCACCCCCAGCACCCCCTCCCCCCTCACCCCCAGCACCTCTTCCCTTCCTCCCAGCACCCCCTCCCCCTCCCCCCCAGTACCCCCTCCCCCTCCCCCCCAGCACCCCTCCCCCCCAGCACCCCTCCCCCCCAGCACCCCCTCCCCCTCCTCCCACCCAGCACCCCCTCCCCCCTCCCTCCCACCCAGCACTCCCTCCCCCTCCCTCCCACCCAGCAACCCCTCCCCCTCCTCCCACCCAGCACCCCCTCCCCCCTCCCTCCCACCCAGCACTCCCTCCCCCTCCCTCCCACCCAGCAACCCCTCCCCCTCCTCCCCCCCAGCACCCCCTCCCCTCCCTCCCACCCAGCACCCCCTCCCCCTTCCTCCCACCCAGCACCCCCTCCCCGTCCCCCTTCGAGGAACTGGGTCCCCCCGGCTCTAACGGGGTTCCATGTGGAATGTTGGGCGGAGGAGACCATTCCGGCCAGAAGCAGGCTCCTGTGCTCCTGGCCGTCCCCCTAGGGCCGCCCACCCTCAGCGGCCAACCCGCCCTGAGACCCGGCCCGGGTTCGAGGCCGAGACGCCCCACCAGGGCTTGTTGGGAGCAGCGTTCCCGTCCCACCCTTCACACCTGCGGGGCCGGACGCCATTTGTTAACCGTGTGGGGGCCGGACGCAGTCGGGAGGAGGAGTGGACCCAACGCATTCCCGGTGCGCTGGGAAGAGTGCCCTCCCCGCCCCACGGCCCCACACGCACTGCCACACGGCCCCACACGCATCCACACGGCTCCACACGCAGCCACACGGCCCCCACGCGCAGCCACACGGCCCCCACGCGGCCACACGGCCCCCACACGCAGCCACACTGCCCCCACGCGGCCACACGGCCCCCACACGCAGCCACACGGCCCCACACGCGGCCACACGGCCCACACGCGGCCACACGGCCCCCACGCGGCCACATGGCCCCCACACGCGGCCACACGGCCCCACACGCGGCCACACGGCCCCACACGCGGCCACACGGCCCCCACGCGGCCACATGGCCCCCACACGCGGCCACACAGGTATCCCCACGGGCAGGGGCCACAGGCAAGCGGTGGTGTGCCCGGCCGGGCCCTGCTGCCCGGGGGGGAGAGGGTGTAAGGTGGGGGGACGGGGTGGTGGACGGACACCGTGGTGTGCGGGGGGGGGGGGGGGGGGGGGGGCCGGGGCAGGGGAACAGGGTTAGGAGGACGGGGTGGTGGACGGACACCGCCCTCTGATCCTCCTGCAGCAGCTCATCCGGGCGCTGGGCGGGGGGCGGGTAGGGGACGGCGTGGTGGGTGGACACTGTGGCTGCCCGGGGTGGGGGCGGGGGTAGGGGGACGGGGTGGTGGGTGGACACCATGGTGTGCTGGGGGAGGGGGCAGGGGGGTGGGGGTAGGGGGACGGCGTGGTGGGTGGACTCTGTGGCTGCCCAGGGCGGGGGGCGGGGGCAGGGGGACGGCATGGTGGGTGGACACTGTGGCTGCCCGGGGCGGGGGGCGGGCAGGGGACGGCGTGGTGGGTGGACACCGTGGTGTGCCGGGGGAGGGGGCAGGGGGACTGGGGTAGGGGGACGGGGTGGTGGGTGGACTCTGTGGCTGCCCAGGGCGGGGGCGGGGGTAGGGGGACGGGGTGGTGGGTGGACACCGTGGTGTGCGGGGACGGGGGTAGGAGGACGGGGTAGTAGGTGGACACTGGCTGCCCTGGCTGCCCGGGGTGGGGGCGGGTAGGGGACGGCGTGGTGGGTGGACACCGTGGTGTGCCGGGGGAGGGGGCAGGGGGACTGGGGTAGGGGGACGGGGTGGTGGACGGAAACTGTGGCTGCCCTGGCTGCCCGGGGGGCGGGTAGGGGACGGCGTGGTGGACGGACTCCGCCCTCTGCCGCAGGTCTGCTCCGCCTGCAGCAGCTCATCCGGGCGCTGGGCGGGGGGCGGGTAGGGGACGGGGTGGTGGACGGACACTGTGGCTGCCCAGGGCGGGGGGCGGGCAGGGGACGGCGTGGTGGACGGACTCCGCCCTCTGCCGCAGGTCTGCTCCGCCTGCAGCAGCTCATCCAGGCGCCCGCCCGGCAGGACCTCCGGCTGCGGCTGCGGCGGCTGCCGCCCGGCGCCCAGGACGCCAGGCCGCTCCTGCAGGACATGAAGCGCGGCCGCGAGCTCCACGTGGTCCTGGCCTGCGGCCCCGAGACCGCCGCCCGCCTCCTGCAGCAGGTGGGGGGGACCTCCGACCTCACCAGTGACCCGCAGGCTGCCCCTGGGGTGACGGAGCGAGGAGCTGGGGCGGGACAGGCAGGTGTCCACACGGTCCCTCCGAGCGGCCGGCTGCCCTGTGGTCTCTGCGCACCCCACCCCGTCCCAGCACCGGTCCCCGTGGGCTCTGGGTTTCGGGGGAAACTCGGCCGGCCCGCAAACGAATCGTATGGACAGCTTCTCTTCCTCCTGAGGCTGCCACCAGGACGTCCCCGCCCGGGAGCTGGCTTTCTCCCCCCACCCTCCCCCCTTCACCCCGCCGGGCCCCTCCCTGAGGACCTGGGAGAAGGCCCGGTGCCCTCCAGGGAGCGTCTGATGCCCGTCCTGTTCTATGGGACATACACTGAGGGGGGAGGGTCCTGTTCTATAGGACATACACTGGGGGGGGGAGGGTCCTGTTATATAGGACATACACTGGGGGGGGGAGGGTCCTGTTCTATGGGACATACACTGGGGGGGGAGGGTCCTGTTCTATAGGACATACACTGGGGGGGAGGGTCCTGTTCTATAGGACATACACTGGGGGGGAGGGTCCTGTTATATAGGACATACACTGGGGGGGAGGGTCCTGTTATATAGGACATACACTGAGGGGGAGGGTCCTGTTCTATAGGACATACACTGGGGGGGGAGGGTCCTGTTCTATAGGACATACACTGGGGGGGGGGTCCTGTTCTATAGGACATACACTGATGGGGGAGGGTCCTGTTCTATAGGACATACACTGGGGCGGGGGGGGGGGGCGCGTGGCTCTCGGGGCCGAGCACCCAGAGGCGATCACCTCCCTTCGGAGGGAACAGGCTGTGATGGGATCCGCAGTTATTCCCCAAAACTAGTCAGAAATCCCAATGTCAGGACTCGATTAAGCTGTAGAGACGGGCCTCATCAGCCTCTGCAGTTTAAGGGTGGAGCCCCCTCCCGCAGCCTGGGGTCCCTCCCTGCCCCCCCCCCACCCCCCCACCCCCGGCCCCGTACATGGCCACTCCCTCTTCTCACCCCTCAGGTGGGAGCCGGGCTCCTGCTCCTCTGGCTCCCAGTCCCCCCAGTCCTGCCCATCTCCCCACAGCCCCTCCCCGCCCCCGCTGGCTGAGCGCCATCCCCCTCCCCCTAGGACCCCACCCTGTGGGGTGGCCAGCAGCACCCGCCCTCAATCACACAATAGCCTGGATGTAATTGGTATCACCCTTAATTTGCATATGAAATTCGAGGCTCAGAGCTACAATAATTTCATCCGCCATGGGCATGGACGGAGCCTGCTCTCGTCATATTTAATATGTATTTTTTATTGATTTCAGAGAGGAAGGGGGAGGGAGAGCGAGAGAGAATCATGGAGCGGCTGCCTCCTGCACACCCCCTGCTGGGGACCGAGCCTGAAGTGTGATGTGCTGGTTTCATTGAGACAGTGTGAACAGGCCCTGGCAGGTGTGGCCAGTGGATAGAGCGTCGGCCTGTGGACCGAAGGGTCCCGGGTTTGATTCCAGCCAAGGGCACGGACCTCGGTTGCAGGCTCCTCCCTGTTCCAGGCCCTGGTCGGGGCGTGTGCAGGAGGCAACCCACTGATGTGTTTCTCTCACATCGATGTTTCTCTCTGTCTTTCCCACTCTCTCTAAAATCAATGAAAAAATAGCCTCAGGTGAGGATTTAAAAAAATAAAAATAAAAAAGGGCTGCATGGGGCCAGGGTTGCGAGCTGAGAGCACTGGGCTGAATGTGTGCGGGGCTGGGCCAGCGCCCCCAGCAGGCCACGGACAAGCACAGCGGGGAAGTTCGGAGAGGAGAATGTCGGTTCTGCAGAGAACCGTGAGGAAACGCCGTGTCCTGGTTGTGCTTTTCTCTGAAATGACATTTATCCCCAGAGGACACCTCCTCCCTCCCTGAGTGACCTCCAGCGAAACGCCCGCCCACAGAGGGAGCCCTGTGCGAGGCAGCCCCTCCTCTGTATCTCTGCTCAGAGGACGGCCAAGCAGGCAGTCCCTCAGCCTGGCATGGCTCCGGGATCGAGCATCGATTCCGGTCAGGGCTCAGGCCCGGGTGAGAGGCTTTATCCCCAGTGGGGGCATGCAGGAAGCAGCTGATCCATGATTCTCTCTCATTGCTGATGTTTCTCTCTCTCTCCTTCTCCCTTCCTCTCTGAAGTCATTAAAAATATACACTGAGTGGCCAGATTATGATGATCTCTGAATGCATAATAATCTGGCCACTCAGTATATATATGCACATTAGAGGCCTGGTGCATGAATTCGTGCATGGCTGGGGTCTGGCCAGCCTGGCCATGGGGAGGGGACATAGGTGGTTGGCCAGCCTGCCTGCTGATCGAACTCCTGGTCAAGGGAACAATTTGGATCTTAGCCTTTTATTATATAGGATAGACATGGAGTGGCCAGATTATTAGGCATTCAGAGATCATCATCATCTGGCCACTCTGTACATTTTTCAGAAAGCAGGAGACCCATTAGCTGGTTATTCATGCATCTTCATAGCTCTTTCTTAGCACTGAGTAAGGGGCGTGTCATAGGGATGTTGCCTCCAGGTGAGACCATACAATACTCATAACAATAATAAGTGGAATGGTTGCTTAGAAAACACACAAAGCATTTCACCTTGTATCCACCTGTGACACCACCTGGCTTTTGTTGGCCATTTTGTGAGATGGTTGGTTTCTGCTCCCACGTCATGGCCAGGAACTGGTCAGTCTGCATTCGCTGTTTCCACCCACTCCCCCCCACCCCCACCCCTGGGCCTGGGCGGCTGTGCTGCCGGAAATGTGTCCGCATCCCCGGCTGGCCCCTCGGCGGGGCGTCGCCATGGACAGTATTCCCAATGAGCCCGCGTGTTTCTCCGCCCCAGCTGTAACCCCGTTCACGTGTGACTTCATTCACCTGAGCTCTTTCTTTCGTTCTTCGGAGCTGGCCTGGGGTTTATCAGTTCTGTTTCTTCTCAAAGAGCGAGCCCCCGTTCATTACCTGCTCCATGGGTGTGCTCTTCCCTCTCGGCTGCGTTCTTAGCCGCTCCGGTCTCCGTCAGTCCTCCCTGCTGTTGGTTCTCCTTCGAGTTCCTTCAGGTGGGAAGGTGGGTTCTTTAGTTGAGATTTTTGTTTCTTGAACCTGTGCAGCCACGAGCTTCCTCTTAGAACTGATTTCGTTGCCTCCCATCCATTTCGGGAAGTTGTGTTTTTCATTATTTGCCTCCGGGTCATTGTTTCTTTCCTGTTTGATTTCCCGTCTGACCCGCGGGTGCTGGTCTCCATGTGAGTGTGTTTTTCCGTTTTCTTCCCGCTGTTGGTTTCTAGTTTCATGCCACTGTGGTCAGACAGGACGCTTGACAGGAGTTCAGTTTTCTTGAGTGTATTGTGGCTTGTGTGCCTGGAATAGAACTTTATCCGGTGTTTGAATGAAATGTTCTATACGTGTCTCATCTGACGCTTAAAGCCTTTATCTTATTACTATTGACCCAGGATTAGAGGAAATAATTTAATATTGCTATTTGCCCTTTCTCTATATCCAAAGTGTCAGAGATGAAAGAAAATTAATAAAATGTATATGAAAATCTCCCTTCTGTCAGACACTGGGGCTCACCATGGGAGTCTAGTCCCCGCCCACCCACATGCACCTCAAAATCACGTGAGACCCAAATCCGGCCTCCTCCCTCCCCCATTGGGCTAGATCCAGGCCCGGCCAGTCCCACCTTTGTCAAGCCCTGCTGGGCAGGGGGCATAGCCTCAGGTCCCCTGGCCAGGACGAGGAGGGTGTGTGGCCTGAGGTCCCCCAGCCCAGACCGGGGCAGGGGGTGTGCCTTGAAGTCCCCCATCAAGCCCTGCCCAGTGGGGGGCACGGCCTGAGGTCCCGTCAAGCCTCAGGTGTGCGGGGGAGGGTGTAGCGCCAGGTCCCCGCTGATTGCTCGTTAAGGCTCCTTATGGGAACTGGCCTCAGCTGTGGGTGCAGCCATCTTTGTGACGGAGTGATGGTCAATTAGCATATTCCCTCTCTATTGGATGGGATTCGTTTCTGTCTGGATGATGTATCCATTGATCTGAATGGATGGTGATGACCCTCCAGTTACGAGCTGACGGTCAATGTCTGCGTTTGCGTCTGTTAACAATTACTCCTCATATTGGGGTGCCCCTTTATTGGGTGCGTAGATATTTATGATGGCACGGCCCTTTCTGGGGCTGACCCCTCTATCATTACGGAATGCCTTTGTTGTTGTTGTTTGTATTCTTTGTTAAAGTCTGTTTTGTCTGACACAAGGATTGCGATGCCAGCTTCCTCTTTGTTCCAGTCTGCGTGTGGTGTCTCTGTCCGGCCCGCCTTTCCCGCCTGCGAGCGTCTTTAGACGTGAGGAGAGTCCCGCCAGAGGCACACAGACGCGCCTTGTTCTTGATCCGTCCACCTGCCCTCGTCCTTCTGGAGCATTTAATTCCTTTACATTTAACGTGGTTCCTGCCACGAGGTGCCGGTGGCCATTTTGCTCATTGTTTTTTGGCTTTTCTCTATTTCTTTCCTCTCCAGACGGCCTCTGCCATGTGCTGGTTTTGCTCCGTGTTTTGTTCGGTTCCTTTCTCTTCCTTCTCCATGTGTCTCTCACAGGGCTTTGGTGTGTGGCTCTGACGGGTTCGTGTCTGCCACTCTGTGTTCCCGCAGCCTGTGTGAGGTCGTGTTCCTGTCTGCCACTCCGTGTCCCTGCAGCCCTTGTAAGGTCAGGTCCGTGTCTGCCACTCCGTGTCCCCGCAGCCCGTGTGAGGTCCGTGTCTGCCACTCCGTGTCCCCGCAGCCCATGTGAGGTCGTGTTCGTGTCTGCCACTCTGTGTTCCCGCAGCCCGTGTGAGGTCATGTTCTCCTCTGCCACTCCGTGTCCCCGCAGCCCGTGTGAGGTCATGTTCATGTCTGCCACTCCGTGTCCCTGCAGCCCTTGTAAGGTCAGGTCCGTGTCTGCCACTCCGTGTCCCCGCAGCCCGTGTGAGGTCCGTGTCTGCCACTCCGTGTCCCCGCAGCCCATGTGAGGTCGTGTTCGTGTCTGCCACTCTGTGTTCCCGCAGCCTGTGTGAGGTCCATGTCTGCCACTCCGTGTCCCTGCAGCCTGTGTGAGGTCATGTTCTCGTCTGCCACTCCGTGTTCTCGCAGCCCGTGTGAGGTCCGTGTCTGCCACTCCGTGTCCCCACAGCCTGTGTGAGGTCCATGTCTGCCACTCCGTGTCCCTGCAGCCTGTGTGAGGTCATGTTCCTGTCTGCCACTCCGTGTCCCCGCAGCCCATGTGAGGTCCGTGTCTGACACTCCGTGTCCCCGCAGCCTGTGTGAGGTCATGTTCTCGTCTGCCACTCCGTGTCCCCACAGCCTGTGTGAGGTCATGTTCATGTCTGCCACTCCGTGTCCCTGCAGCCCTTGTAAGGTCAGGTCCATGTCTGCCACTCCGTGTCCCCACAGCCTGTGTGAGGTCATGTTCATGTCTGCCACTCCGTGTCCCTGCAGCCCTTGTAAGGTCAGGTCCATGTCTGCCACTCCGTGTCCCCACAGCCCGTGTGAGGTCATGTTCTCCTCTGCCACTCCGTGTCCCCGCAGCCCGTGTGAGGTCATGTTCTCCTCTGCCACTCCGTGTCCCCGCAGCCCATGTGAGGCCGTGTTCGTGTCTGCCACTCCGTGTCCCCGCAGCCCGTGTGAGGTCGTGTTCTCCTCTGCCACTCCGTGTCCCCACAGCCCGTGTGAGGTCAGGTCCGTGTCTGCCACTCCGTGTCCCCGCAGCCCATGTGAGGTCCGTGTCTGCCACTCCGTGTCCCCGCAGCCCGTGTGAGGTCCGTGTCTGCTACTCCGTGTCCCCGCAGCCCGTGTGAGGTCCACAGGCATGCACGCCCAGCCACATCCTACAAGGACTATGTGTCACTCCCTCCCATGTGTTAAGTTGGTGATGTCATATTTTAGGTCTTCTTGTTTTGTGTATCACTATGACAACATCAATTTGTTGTTGTTGTTGTTGATCCTCACCCAAGGACATTTTCCCACTGATTTTTAGGGAGAGTGGGAGAGAGGGAGAGACAGAGAGAAACACACCGATGGGCTGCCTCCTGCAGGAGCCCAGACCAGGGCCCAGGCGGGGAGGACCCTATAACCAAGTACGTGACCTCGACCAGAATTGAACCCAGGACCCTTTGGTCCACAGGATGGCGCTCTATCCACTGAGCAATACCGGCCAGGGCCACAATATCAATTTTTTAGAAAACCCCAGACCCTCCACTGGTGGTTAAACGCCTCCAAAATGAAGTTCAGGGAGAAGCGCCAGCCCTGGTGTGGAGTCGAACCCTCGGCTGCCTCTGTGTCTCACTTTCAGTTCCAGGAAGAATATTTCAAACCTCCAAGCCCGGCTCTCTCTCGTAACATAAAGTGTGTCAGTGTCCCTTTCCAGAGCTGGTCTTGGCGGGAATCGCTCGGCCTAATGACTGACGTGAGGAATGGGGTCACTCAGAGACCTGGGGTCACTCAGACGCCTGGGGTCACTCAGACGCCCGTGGTCACTCAGAGACCTGGGGTCACTCAGAGACCCAGGGTCACTCAGACACCTGGGGTCACTCAGAGACCTGGGGTCACTCAGAGACCTGGGGTCACTCCAAAGGCCACGTGCCTATGAACAACTCTGCGCATGAGTATGACTCAGCACAAACCTTTTATTTTGATCCTCACCCAAGGCATTTTCCCATTGATGTTCAGAGAGTGGGAGAGAGAGGGAGAGACAGAGAGAAACAACCACGTGAGAGAGACACATCGATTGTTGCCTCCTGCACATACCCTGACCAGGCCCAGATGGGGAGGAGCCTGCAACCAAGGCATGTGCCCTGGACTGGAATCGAACCCGGGACCCTTGGGTCTCTACCCACTGAGCCACACCAGCTAGGGCTGCACAAATATTTTTAAATATGATCCTCTGTCCAATGACTTGTTCCGAGTCACACCGGTGCCATGACCAAGCCTCGGACGGCATCAGCAGCTTGGTCTCCGCTCCCGCAGCCCTGGGCCCCAGGTTCCTCGTCTGCGGGACCCTCAGGCCCTGCCTGTCCTGGTGCCGGCTCCAGCGTCGCCTCTCCATCTGCGTCCTCGTGGCCCCAATGTCTGACCTCCACTTCCCTTTCAGATTCTGCTCCTGGGCATGATGACCGAGCACTACCACTACCTCCTCACCACCCTGGTAAGCACGCCGACCACGCCCGTGACCGCAGACACACATCCGTGACCCCAGACACACATCTGTGACTGCAGACCTGTATCCATGACCATAGATACATGCCTGTGACCGCAGACACGCGTCCATGACCGCAAACACACATCCGTGACCCCAGACCTGGGTCCATGACCGCAGACACACATCCGTGACCCCAGACACACATCTGTGACTGCAGGCCTGTATCCATGACCATAGATACATGTCTGTGACCGCAGACACGCGTCCATGACCGCAGACACACATCCGTGACCCCAGACACACATCTGTGACTGCAGACCTCTATCCATGACCATAGATACATGTCTGTGACCACAGACACACATCCGTGACCCCAGACCTGGGTCCATGACCGCAGACCCACGTCCGTGACCACAGACCCACGTCTGTGACCACAGACCCATGTCTGTGACTACAGACATGCATCTGTGACTGCAGACACATATCCGTGACCACAGACTCGCATCCGTGAGAGGGAAGAGGGCGCTGAGGCGGTGCCCGGAGGGAGAGGCCTGAGGGTGGAGCGCCAGTTCAGACTGGACTGGGCTGCAGGGAGCTCCCGGAGCTCTGCCTCTGCTCCGAGCTCTCGGGGAAGGCCGAGGGGAGGGCCCCGCAGACACCCTCCCCTGTGGCCCCTGCAGGCACAGCCTCAGGGCTCCCACCTCCTTCCTGCCCCAGGCCCCTTCACCACAGGAACAACGGCCTTTTCTAGTGCAGTGACATCATGTCAGTGTTTTCTTAAACAGACTTTTTATTGATGTCAGAGAGGGAGAGGGAGAGCGAGAGAAACACCCATGAGGAGAATCACTGACCAGCTGCCTCCTGCACGCCCCTCAGTGGGGACCGAGCACACGCGGGCATGTGCCCTGACGGGAATCGAACCCAGGACCTTCAGTCGCAGCTGACGCTCAGCTACGGAGCCATGCTTTTAGGAAGACCGTTTAGGAAGTCTCTTTCCTGTTACGGCGCTTTGGGAGTCGGTTTGGCCTCAGAGGGGTTGTGTGTTTTAGTCACACAGCTCGCTCACAGCCTGGTCTTTCTATAGAAACGGTGAAGGTGTGGATCGTCTGTTTTAAATGTGAATCCGCTCGTGCACATGGTGTGGCTCAGCTCGTCTGCGATGGGGGGGGGGGCTCTTCCTGAGACCTTGGGGGGGCAGGTTCCCCTGTGAAGGCCCCCCCGCCGGCAGGGCCCAGCAGACGCGGGAGCTGATGTTCTCCCTGAAGAGGACCTTTCGTTCCTCCTGTTCCTCTTGGAGCCCAGCTGCTGCTGAGAGCGGCTTCCTGCCCTCGCCGGGGAGGGGGCTGCCTTGGGGGAGCGGGGGCCAGGGGGGACGGCTTCCTTTCCTGCTGAGGGAACTTCCTGTCACACGCTGTGCAATTTCCCAGTCTCCCTCCTTTGCAGGGCGTGGGGGTGGGATGGTCTTTCCTGGGACCCGTCTCCTCAGACCTCCGCTTCCTTATTAAATACAGGCATCGCCGGGCCGGCTGGCTCCGTGGCTGAGCGTCAGCCTGTGAACCAGGAGGTCAGGGTTCCCAGTCAGGGCACAGGCCTGGGTTGCGGGCTCCATCCTCAGTGGGGAGCGTGCAGGAGGCAGCCAATCGATGGTTTCTCTCATCATTGGTGTTCCTATCTCTCTCTCCCTCTCCCTTCCTCTCTGAAATCAATAGAAAACACATTTTTAAAATCTTTTTAATAAAATAAAATAGTAAAATAAAAAGGTAATGAGCCAAACGAACACAGAGACCCTGCCAGTCCCGGGGGAGGATTCCAGACACAGAGCCCGGCTCCTCAGGGTCTCCCAGGCGGCGCCAGGGCGCCCACAGCTCCTCGGGGGTGTCTCCTGCCTCCAGGCTGCAGAGATTGGAGGTGCCGGGCGAATGCCAGCACCAGGACTGTGGGCGCCGTTTCGCCGGAGCCCGAGTGGCCGGTCACACTGACCCGTCCTCCCCGCAGGACATGGCCGCGCTGGACCTGGGCCCCTACAGGCACAGCGGCGTCGGCATGACCGGCTTCCGGCTGCTCCGCGCGGACAGCCCCCGCGTGGCCTCCGTCCTGGAGAAGTGGGCGGCCGACCGGCTGCAGGCCCCGCCAGGGCCCGGCCTCCTGGGGGGCGCCATGACGGTAAGAGCCGCTCAGGCCCGGCCAGCTGCGCTCCCTCCCGGGGCTCAGCGGGGAGTCCCTGCCTTCGGCCGCCCGGGATGGTGGGACAGACGGAGGGACAGACGGTGGGACAGCCGTGGGCGCCCTGGCTCTTGGGAGGGAGAAGGAACCGCCTTGTAGGTTTGGGAAAGCCAGTTATGTCAAACACTGGCTGGTGTGGCTCAGTGGATAGAGCATGGGCCTGCAGACAGAGGGTCCCGGGTTTGATTCCGGTCAAGGGCACAGGCCTCAGTTGCAGGCTCCTCCCGGGTCCTGGTCAGGGTGTGTGCAGGAGGCAACCCGTCCATGTGTCTCTCACAACGATGCTTCTCTCCATCTTGGACTCTCTCTTTCTCTCTCCCTAAAAACCAATGGAAAAACATCCTCGGGGGAGGAGTCATAAATAAATGGATAAATAACTGCTGTTTGGGGTTTCTGAGTGTACTCGTCTCAGATTAAAAAACAAACAAACAAACAAACAAAAAACAGCTAAAAGAATTGCTCCCTCGCCATCCCCCCAGCGGGCCTTTGGGAAGGGGGCGTGCGGGAGGGGGTCCTGCAGGGGGACCGAGCTGTGCTGTGTCTCTGCAGACGGCGGCCGCACTCATGTATGACGCTGTGCACGTGGTGGCCGTCGCCGCCCACCGGGCCGCCCCGCTGGCTGTCAGCTCCCTGCAGTGCCACCGGCACCAGCCCTGGCGCCTCGGACCCCGATTCATGAACCTGATCAGAGAGGCAAGTGCTGTTCCTCCCTCGGCTCAGCGGGGCCAGGGTCAAAGGCGGGGGGCGGGGGTCCTCTGGGGAGGGGGGTCCCCTCAAGGCAGGTCCCTCCCATGGGCGGCTCCGTGGGATGTCAGGGGATGATTCCCTCTCATCATTGATGTTTCTATCTCTCCCTCTTCCTTGCTCTCTGAAATCAATAAAAATGTATTTGTGAATAACTAAGTACGTAGCATCCCCCCATCCGACCAGGCTAACTAGAGAAAGACATAAACTAAACCCACGTGGGATCCAATGTTTATCCTCGTGGACAAGGAACATATCGATCAGCTATAAAGGCAATAATCTGATTAACACGGCCGCCGTAGCGTGAGCCACTCCAGACGGGAGATGTGATTTCCAGGCTTCACCACGCACATCGCCTCACCCTTCCCCACCCGCTGGCCTCAGGTGCAAATTCCGAACCCCATTTGTTACATCTGGACACACAGGTCACCCCCGAACCAGCAGAAAAGCAGAAGGTCTGTGCGCGAGCATAGCCAGGTCACCGTCAGAAACAAATCCTGCGGAAGCAGCTTATGGTGCAGCCAGTGCGCTCGGCAGGATGGAGTTAAAGTCGGCGGACGTAAAGAAATGAAACACGGCCAGCAGATGCCGAGCTGGAAATCAAATATTGGCAAGAAAAGCCATTATATCTTCAAATTATGCAGTGATCCGTGCAAGCTGTTATTGCGAGATAATGGGGTATAAACAGCACACGTGAGCGTTAAAATAATTGTAGGTCAAACAGCTGAGAGTTTGATAAATGCATCCTTTCTGCTCCCAAAACAGCTGACCTCCAAGGAAGGGGTGTGATCGAAAGGTCATGCTTGTCGTTCCTTCCTTGGCGTAATGTTTATTTTCACCTCATTATGAAGAATATTTTAGTAATGCCGAGCGATGGGTGACATTTAACACCGATGGTCTTGATCCAGCATCCAGAAGGGCTCAGGAACCCGGAGAAAGGCTGTGTGTAACTGAAGTAAGAGTCCAGAGATGGAAGATAATTTTGAAAGGCATTGGGGGTCAGAGGAGCTTCAGCTAAAGAAACCAAGTTCTCCTTGTCTCAGGACCCCTTGCTTTTTATTAGCACAATTTGTCCTAAAGCAGAGGGCAGGGTTAAAAGAAGCATTGTCAGTTTGGGGAATAGCCTACAGCTGTTCAGGTGTTTGGCCAGCAGGAGGCAATAACATGCAGATTGAGATGCCTTGAGCTGTCTGGCAGCAAACAATCATCCTTTTCAGGTTTGGGGAAATGCCTTCAGCCATTCCAACAGGCAATAACACATGTGACTCAGCCCTTGTTGAGTCCCCAAGTCCCATCCACCTTTTAATGACACTCCTGCAATAACAACATGCTGGAGCTGGCTTCCCACACGTTAGCCTTATTTTGAATTAGCTTCACCTGAGAACTGGCCTAAGGCAGTGGGGACTGGCCAGCGACCACATCGCTTGGTCGGAGGGTGAGTCTCAGGTGTGTGATTCACTCTGGGCCTCACGCTGGGGGTGGGGGACAGTAGCTGTGAGGACGTCAGCTTATACAACAGGCCAGGACAAGCCGCCTGTTAGTTAATTAAAAACAAGTGAAATAGCCCCAGCCGGTGTGGCTGCTCAGGGGTTGAGCATGACCTGGGAACCAGAAAGTCAGGGCACAGGCCCCGGTTTCGGGTTCAATCCCCAGTGTGGGGAGTGCAGGAGGCAGCCGATCTATGATTCTCTCTAATTGATGTCTCCATCTCTCCCTCCTGCTCTGAAATCAATAATAAAAATATATTTACAAACCAGTAAAATAGTCCTAGTCGGTTTGGCTCAGACCCGGGTTGCAGGCTCCATCCCCAGCCCAGTCTGGGTGCATGCAGGAGGCAACCAATCCTTGAGTCTCCCTCACAATGATGTGTCTCTCTGTCTCTCCCCGTCCCTTCCACTCCCTCTAAAACCCGATGGGAAAATATCCTCGGATGAGGATTCACAACAAAACAAAAAGCGACAATTTGACACCATAGTGGCCTGCACTTGTTAGCTTTCTCTCAGGGCTCAGAACCATGTGTGGTCGGACTTTTAAGATCCATAAAATTCTGCTCTGATTGCTTTTCTCTGCCCCTGTGACCCCCAGATGTGCTGGCTGGCTGTGGGCACTGTTGGGCGGTCACCGGGGGGCGGTCACCGCGGCAGACGGTCACCGGGGGCGGTCACGGGGGGGCGGTCACGGGGGGCGGTCACCGGGGGGCGGTCACCGGGGGCGGTCACCGGGGGGCGGTCACCGGGGGGCGGTCACCGGGGGGCGGTCACTGGGGGGCGGTCACCGGGGCAGACGGTCACCGGGGGGCGGTCACCGGGGGCGGTCACTGGGGGGCGGTCACTGGGGCAGACGGTCACCGGGGGGCGGTCACCGGGGCAGACGGTCACCGGGGGGCGGTTACTGGGGGTGGTCACCGGAGCAGACGGTCACCGGGGGGCAGTCATCGGGGCAGACGGTCACGGGGGGCGGTCATGGGGGGGCGGTCACCGGGGGGCGGTCACCGGGGGGCGGTCACCGGGGGGCGGTCACCGGGGGCGGTCATGGGGGGGCGGTCACTGGGGGCGGTCACCGGGGGCGGTCACCGGGGGGCAGTCACCGGGGCAGACGGTCACCGGGGCAGACGGTCACCGGGGGCGGTCACCGGGGCGGGCGGCCGGAGGGGCGGGCACCGTCACAGACTGAGGTTGGCACATGAGAGTGACAGATCTGGAGCTGCGACACCCCAAGGGCCAGCCACGGGCTCAGCTGGCGGCCGGACCGGGGCTGTGGCCCACGGAGCCGGACCCGGCGCCCGGGCTTCAGGGTGACGGATCTGCCTGCCAGGCGGTGACCCGCCCTCCTTCGCAGGCCCAGTGGGACGGCCTGACCGGGCGGATCGCCTTCGACCAGACCGACGGCTCCAGGAAGGACTTCGACCTGGACATCCTGAGCCTCGGGGAGGAGGGCCCCGAGAAGGTACGCCCAGACGAGGCAGGCAGGACAGGAGAGCCCGGCTCACGCGTTTCCATGGTGACGTGGCCAGTAGCATGGACCTAGGAGCCAGGAGGTCCCAGTTCGATTCCCCGTGGGGCTCAGGCGGGGCTGCGGGCTGGACCAGGGGGGTGTGTGCAGGAGCTGCCGGTCATGATTCTCTCTCATTGATGGTTCCCTCCCTCTCCCTCCCTCTCTGAGGCCGATAAGAACGTGTCGATTAAATAACAATGAGGTTAATAAATAAAACAAATGACCCCCCAGCCTCCGCCAGAAGCTCAGGCTTCCCGGCTCTGCCGCTGCTCGTCCGACCGTCCATCCTTCCGTCATCCGTCCATCCATCCTTCCTTCATCCGTCCATCCATCCTTCCGTCGTCCTTCCATCCATCCTTCCTTCGTCTGTCCGTGGCTTCGCTTCCCCGCCAGCCGCTCCTGCGCTGTGCCCCGCGGGCGGGACGCGGACTCGGGGCCAGACTCGGGGTGCTCCTCCCCCCGGGCCCCCCTCAGCCTCCGTGTTCCCTGCAGATCGGCGCCTGGAGCCCCCTCCGCGGCCTCCGCCTGCGGGACGCGAGCAGAGAGCCGGCCCCCGGCCTGGGCGCCGCGCCGACCAACCGCACGCTCATCGTCACCACCATCCTGGTGAGCGGCCGTCCGTCCGGTCTCACCCAGACCCCCTCCAGGGGCTCCCTGTGCCCGTCCGGTCTCACCCAGACCCCCTCCAGGGGCTCCCTGTGCCCGTCCGGTCTCACCCAGACCCCCTCCAGGGGCTCCCTGTGCCCGTCCGGTCTCACCCAGACCCCCTCCAGGGGCTCCCTGTGCCCGTCCGGTCTCACCCAGACCCCCCTCCAGGGGCTCCCTGTGTCCGTCCGGTCTCACCCAGACCCCCTCCAGGGGCTCCCTGTGCCCGTCCGGTCTCACCCAGACCCCCTCCAGGGGCTCCCTGTGCCCGCCCGGTCTCACCCAGACCCCCCTCCAGGGGCTCCCTGTGCCCATCTGAGTCTCACCCAGACCCCCCTCCAGGGGCTCCCTGTGCCCATCTGAGTCTCACCCAGACCCCCCTCCAGGGGCTCCCTGTGCCCGCCCGGTCTCACCCAGACCCCCTCCAGGGGCTCCCTGTGCCCGTCCTGTCTCACCCAGACCCCCCTCCAGGGGCTCCCTGTGTCCGTCCGGTCTCACCCAGACCCCCCTCCAGGGGCTCCCTGTGTCCGTCCGGTCTCACCCAGACCCCACTCCAGGGAATCTGCAGATTCCGGTTTGCTTGTTTTAATAAATTTTATTGATGTCAGAGAGGAAGGGAGGTGGGAGGCAGAGAGAAAACCGTGGATCCTGCCTCCTGCCGTCCCACCCCACTGCCCGGCTGGGGACCGAACCTGCAACCCAAAGTCTCAGCGGACTCAGTCGCCTGCAGACGGCAGCTCTTCGACGACAGCGAGGAGGGCGGGCGGGCCCAGCCCAGGGAGCCGGGTGGGTAGTCTGTCCTCTGCCGACTCGAGTGGGCGTGACACTCAGGTCCCCCTCACACCTTTGACTCAAATGTCATTTAGAGAGAGAGGAGGGAGTCCAGCCGGCGCAGCTCAGGGGCTGAGTGTCCACCTAGGAACCAGGAGGTCAGGGTTCGATTCCCGGTCAGGGCACTGGCCCGGGCTGCGGGCTCATTCCCAGTGTGGGGCGTGCAGGAAGCAGCTGATCCATGACTCTCTTATCATGGATGTTTCTCTCTCTCTCTCCCTCTGAGATCAATAAAATATAGATAAAAATAAAAGTAGTAAAGAGAACAGAGGGAGGCATAACACAGAGAACGGGGAGGAAGCTCAGCGAGGCAGGAGGTGCGTGGCGGACGGTGGCCCGCCCCAATCTCCGAGTCTGTGGGGCCGCGTGGCCCAAGGCGGGCGCCGGGCGTGGCTCTGCCCCTGTGTCATGGGCGCCCGTCCCGTCCGTCCCAGGAGGAGCCCTACGTGATGTACAGGAAGTCGGACCAGCCGCTGTCCGGCAACGACCGGTTCGAAGGGTTCTGCCTGGACCTGCTGCAGGAGCTGTCCAGCATCCTGGGCTTCGTCTACGACGTCCAGCTCGTCCCCGACGGCAAATACGGAGCCCAGGACGCCCAGGGCGAGTGGAACGGGCTGGTGCGGGAGCTGATGGACCGCGTAAGCCCGCCTCCCCCGCGGGCACCCGGGAAGCAGGGGGACGGAGGAGGGGGAGACGGTCGCATCGGGTCCCTCCTCTTCGTCATAAGCACGGCTCGGACGGAGAAGGCCTGGGATCGCGTGTGCGTCCTCGGAAGGAAGGGAGGACAGACGCGGAAGCGGGGTGTGTGGGGCCGCCTTCAGCTGGGGAATGAGCCGGGGGGACTCTTCCCTCCGACGAGCGTTCGAATACAAGTCTGCAGCCCGAGTCACGCCTCATCCCAGCAACGGATCGAGGCCCCAGCTGCTCATTCTGTGCTGTTCTCACATGCTCTTTTTACTTTTATTTCACTTTTATTTTTTAGATACACTTTTTATTGATTTCAGAGAGGAAGGGAGGGGGAGAAAGAAAAAGAAACATCAGCGATGAGAGATGTTTGTCGGTCGGCTGCCTCCTGCACGCCCCCTGCTGGGGACCGAGCTCCCAGCCGGAGGCTCAGCCGCCGAACCCCACGGCCAGACGCGTCTCTTTGTAGAGACGGGGTTCTGCAGCGTTTCCGCTCAGTTCGCTCAGAACGTCTGTGTGTCTGGGTCGGCCTGCGTGTCTGTGTGTACGTCCTCCCTCCTGGTGTCTGTCTCCTGAGAGAGCCCTCCTCCGTGGCCACGACTGCTGAGCCGTCCTGTGGCCTCGGAGCTGGTGGTGGGAGAGGCTGGGAGGACGGGGAGGGCGGGAGGATGGGAGGATGGGGAGGGCGGGAGGATGGGGAGGATGGGGAGGGCGGGAGGATGGGGAGGGCGGGAGGATGGGGATGGGGAGGGCAGGAGGGCGGGAGGATGGGGAGGAGGGGGAGGGGGGGAGGGCGGGAGGATGGGGATGGGAGGATGGGGAGGATGGGGAGGATGGGGAGGGGGAGGATGGGGAGGATGGGGAGGATGGGGAGGGCGAGAGGATGGGAGGATGGGGATGGGGAGGGCGGGAGGATGGGGATGGGGAGGATGGGGAGGATGGGGAGGATGGGGAGGGCGGGAGGATGGGAGGATGGGGATGGGGAGGGCGGGAGGATGGGGATGGGGATGGGGAGGGCGGGAGGATGGGAAGGATGGGAGGATGGGGAGGCGGGAGGATGGGAGGATGGGGATGGGGAGGATGGGAGGATGGGGATGGGGAGGATGGGGAGGATGGGGATGGGGAGGGCGGGAGGATGGGGAGGATGGGGAGGGCGGGGAGGATGGGGAGGGCGGGGAGGATGGGGAGGGCGGGAGGACAGGGAGGACTGGGAGGTGGCCCCGGCCCGAGGCGGGGCCACGGCGGACCAGGACCGGCCCTGCCGTTGCAGAGGGCGGACCTGGCCGTGGCCCCGCTCACCATCACCCGCGTGCGCGAGGCCGTCATCGACTTCTCCGAGCCCTTCATGGCCCTGGGCATCGGCATCCTCTACCACACGCCCCGCGGCGCCCGCCCCGGCCCCTTCGCCCTCCTGCGCCCGCTGGCCCCCGACGTCTGGGCGTGCGTGCTCCTGTCCGGCCTGGGCGTGGGCTGCGTGCTCTTCGTGATCGCCAGGTGAGTCCCGCAGGCGGGGTCGGGCTCAGTGGCCTGGGGGGAGGGGGCGGCCACTGGATAAACCTGCTGTGCCCATTGTGCACCAGCTCTCCTGTGCTCACCTCTCTCTCTCCCGCTCACACCCATCGCTGTCTGCTCACACCCATCGCTGTCTGCTCACACCCATCACTGTCTCCCGCTCACACCCATCGCTGTCTCCCGCTCACACCCATCGCTGTCTCCTGCTCACACCCATCGCTGTCTCCCGCTCACACCCATCGCTGTCTGCTCACACCCATCGCTGTCTCCCACTCACACCCATCACTGTCTCCCACTCACACCCATCACTGTCTGCTCACACCCATCACTGTCTCCCACTCACACCCATCACTGTCTGCTCACACCCATCGCTGTCTCCCACTCACACCCATCACTGTCCACTCACACCCGTCACTGTCTGCTCACACCCATCACTGTCTCCCGCTCACACCCATCACTGTCTCCCGCTCACACCCATCGCTGTCTGCTCACACCCATCACTGTCTCCCGCTCACACCCATCGCTGTCTCCCGCTCACACCCATCACTGTCTCCCGCTCACACCCATCGCTGTCTCCCGCTCACACCCATCGCTGTCTCCCGCTCACACCCATCACTGTCTCCCGCTCACACCCATCGCTGTCTCCCGCTCACACCCATCACTGTCTCCTGCTCACACCCATCGCTGTCTCCCGCTCACACCCATCGCTGTCTGCTCACACCCATCGCTGTCTCCCACTCACACCCATCACTGTCTCCCACTCACACCCATCACTGTCTGCTCACACCCATCACTGTCTCCCACTCACACCCATCACTGTCTGCTCACACCCATCGCTGTCTCCCACTCACACCCATCACTGTCCACTCACACCCATCACTGTCTGCTCACACCCATTGCTGTCTCCCGCTCACACCCATCACTGTCTGCTCACACCCATCGCTGTCTCCCGCTCACACCCATCACTGTCTCCCACTCACACCCATCACTGTCTGCTCACACCCATCGCTGTCTGCTCACACTCATCGCTGTCTCCCGCTCACACCCATCGCTGTCTCCTGCTCACACCCATCACTGTCTCCCGCTCACACCCATCGCTGTCTGCTCACATCCGTCACTGTCTCCCACTCACACTCATCGCTGTCTCCCATTCACACTCATCGCTGTCTGCTCACACATCGCTGTCTGCTCACACCCATCACTGTCTGCTCACATCCGTCACTGTCTCCCGTTCACAGTCATCGCTGTCTGCTCACACATCGCTGTCTGCTCACCCATCACTGTCTGCTCACACCCATCGCTGTCTCCCGCTCACACCCATCGCTGTCTCCCACTCACACCCATCGCTGTCTGCTCACACCCATCACTGTCTCCCGCTCACACCCATCGCTGTCTCACACTCACACCCATCACTGTCTCCCACTCACACCCATCGCTGTCTCCCGCTCACACCCATCGCTGTCTCCCGCTCACACCCATCACTGTCTGCTCACACCCATCGCTGTCTCCCGCTCACACCCATCGCTGTCTGCTCACACCCATCGCTGTCTCCCGCTCACACCCATCGCTGTCTGCTCACACCCATCGCTGTCTCCCGCTCACACCCATCACTGTCTGCTCACACCCATCACTGTCTGCTCACACCCATCGCTGTCTCCCACTCACACCCATCACTGTCTGCTCACACCCATCGCTGTCTGCTCACACCCATCGCTGTCTGCTCACACCCATCGCTGTCTCCCGCTCACACTCATCACTGTCTCTCTCCTCTCTGGTCTCTGGGGGGTGAGTGTGGGCATCTGACACAGACTTAGATGATGGATGGTGGACCCAGAGGTGGCCCCGCCCTGTCAGATGTCCAGCCTGGTGTCTGCTCTCAGCCACGTCCCCTTCTCCACACGCCTGCCCCCCCCCCACCCCGTCCTGCTGAGCAGGTGAAGACGGCCTCTGGTCTCAGCGGAGTCCTGGGCCTGTGGCTCCGCCCCCCGGAGGCTCCGGGTGAGGTGGCTCCTGCCAGCTCCTTGGCCGTTCGCCTCAGTCAGTGACGGAGAAGGACAGGGACCTTACCCTCGCCTCCCTCTCCCGGAGGCGGGAGGTGTTGTTTGGATAAGTCTTATTTCCTTCCTAAGGGAGAGGGAAAGCTGGCCGCACTGTCAGGCTAACGCGCTCGCTAGAGATGCTTGCGACGCGCTGGCTGAACTGAGCTGCATGTGTGAGGTCTCACGTCAGAGCACAGGCTGAGAGAACGAGGCAAAGCCCTGGGGGGGGGGGGGGCATGTCGGGGTTTGATTTTGTGGTTGACATTTTTTCATATTATTTTCTGAGGAATATTGAACCTAAGAAATTATGTCTGTTATCATGAACCCACAACTTAAATACATCGACAAGCCAGATATCATGTCTGCTTATATTTTATGATATGTTTGTCCTTCTTAAATATAAAGGTATTTTTTTAAGTTGGCATCTGGCAAAAAATAAAAATAAAAAAAAACCCAGAAAGCCTTTGGCTGTAATGCTGAGGTCATTGCACAAACCAATATTTCTATTAAAGCTCCAATAGCACTTCCTCCTAGGCCTGCCAGAGTGGCTCAGGGTCTGAGCATCGGCCTCTGAGCCAGGAGGTCAGGGTTCGATTCCCGGTCGGGGCACAGGCCCGGGGTGCAGGCTCCATCCCGGGTGTGGGGCGTGCAGGAGGCAGCCGATCAGGATTCTCTCTCATCACTGATGTTTCTCTCTCTCTCTCTCTCTTCCCCTCTGAAATGAATAGATTTTTTTAAAAAAAATTGTATCAGTTATTCACTTCTAACGCCAAGTGCGGAGTGCTGAGGCGGGACCAGCTGGACTCAGAGAGGGGTGGGGGCTCGTCCTCGGGGGTGCGGTGGGAGGCCGGTCCCCGGGCCTGGCTGCCGGGCTGATTGGAAAACGCCCTCTGCGGAGGCACCGCCGGCTCCGTCTGGCCATTAACGTGTTTAAATCTCGGCGCCAGCGGCCGTGCTATGTCATGGTGACGGCCTTCACTCGCATTTGCTTCCATTAGCGGCCCATTAACACGCTCTTCCTTTCCCCACTCGCCCGTGGCCCGTCAGGAGAGGGTGTAAATTCAAAGCATTATCGTGTCGCTGAAACTAATTAAAATGCATCGCCTGCCATCGTGGGCCGTGCAGGCGCAGCGTGGGGAAGGCGCGGGGGGGGGGGGGGGCGGGGGGGGGGGATGCTGTTACCACAGGGGTAACTGCGAGGCTTCCCGTCACCCCACACTCGGGGAGCAGGCACCCCACTGTCCAAAGGGGCCTGGGCTCAGAGAGTCCTTTTCTGAGGAGCCGCCTGCCCGGCTCCCTGTGCCGGCACCTCGGTGCCTGCCTGTGGCTGCCGGTAACCCCCGGGCCCGGGTCCCACCCGCCGTGGCCGAGCCCGTGGCCGAGCGTGTGGCCGTGGCCGTGGCCGAGCCCGTGGCCGAGCCCGTGGCCGAGCCCGTGGCCGTGGCCCTCCGTGGGACCCCCTCGGCGGACGGCCTTCCAGGGCCCCTTCTCGCACTGCAGGGGCGCCGTTGGGCGTGGGCCTGCTCCTCTGACGCAGACGCTGTCTCTGTCGTCTGCACAGGTTCAGGCCCCACAATGGGCGCCGTCCCCACCCCTGTGGCCAGGACCCAGGCGTGGTGGACGGCCTCACGCTGCTGAACGGCCTCTGGTTCGGAGTCGGAGCCCTCCTGCAGCAAGGTGCTCGCTGGCCCCTCACCCCTCAGCCTGGGCGTCCACGCTGGTGACCCCGATCCGCCCCTCACCCCTCAGTCTGAGTGTTCACGCTGGTGACCCCGATCCGCCCCTCACCCCTCAGCCTGGGCGTCCACGCTGGTGACCCCCAGACGCCCCTCACCCCTCAGTCTGGGCGTCCACGCTGGTGACCCCGAGGCGCCCCTCACCCCTCAGTCTGGGCATCCACGCTGGTGACCCCGATCCGCCCCTCACCCCTCAGCCTGGGCGTCCACGCTGGTGACCCCGATCCGCCCCTCACCCCTCAGCCTGGGCGTCCACGCTGGTGACCCCGATCGGCCCCTCACCCCTCAGCCTGGGCGTCCACGCTGGTGACCCCCAGACGCCCCTCACCCCTCAGCCTGGGCGTCCACGCTGGTGACCCCCAGACGCCTCTCACCCCTCAGCCTGGGCGTCCACGAGGGTGACCCCCAGACGCCCCTCACCCCTCAGCCTGGGCGTCCACGCTGGTGACCCCGATCCACCCCTCACCCCTCAGCCTGGGTGTCCACGAGGGTGACCCCGATCCGCCCCTCACACCTCAGCCTGGGCGTCCACGCTGGTGACCCCGAGGCGCCCCTCACCCCTCAGTCTGAGCGTCCACGCTGGTGACCCCCAGACGCCCCTCACCCCTCAGCCTGGGCGTCCACGCTGGTGACCCCGATCCGCCCCTCACCCCTCAGCCTGGGCATCCACGCTGGTGACCCCCAGACGCCCCTCACCCCTCAGCCTGGGTGTCCACGCTGGTGACCCCGATCGGCCCCTCACCCCTCAGCCTGGGCGTCCACGCTGGTGACCCCGATCCGCCCCTCACACCTCAGCCTGGGCGTCCACGCTGGTGACCCCGATCCGCCCCTCACCCCTCAGCCTGGGCGTCCACGAGGGTGACCCCGATCCGCCCCTCACCCCTCAGCCTGGGCGTCCACACTGGTGACCCCGAGGCGCCCCTCACCCCTCAGCCTGGGCGTCCACGCTGGTGACCCCGATCCACCCCTCACACCTCAGTCTCCGGGGAAGCGCTTCTGCATCAAACAAAAGCCACAAACCACACCTTCCCGCCATTTTTTTAAAAAAAGCAGCGATTACCCCTGCCCCTGAGGGTGCCTGCTCGGCAAATTCACGGCTTTTATGCCACAAAAATGTGTTCATCCACCCTAGCCCATCCCAGCCCGCTCCCTCCCGACGCCCTCTGACGCCCGCTCTGCCCCAGGGTCCGAGCTGGTGCCCCAGGCGCTGTCCACCAGGATCCTGGCCGGGAGCTGGTGGTGCTTCACCCTCATCCTCACCGCGTCCTACACGGCCAGCCTGGCCGCCCTCCTGACCGTGGGGAGGTCCGAGGCCCCCATCGGCTCGGCGGACGACCTGGCCAGGCAGAGCAGCATCGAGTACGGGGCCGTCAGGGACGGCGCCACCATGGCCTTCTTTGAGGTGAGCGGCCGGCGTGGGTTCTAGTGGTTACCTGGCTGCAGGGGGGTGGGCAGGGACGGGGGGAGGGGGGTGGCTGCGAGTCTCCCTGTCTTCCAGCAGGTGCGGGGCACAGGGCTGTAGGGGAAGGGGCGGGTGAGGCTGGGGACGGGATGCAGCTAGGAGCAGGCCAGGGGTCCTCGGATGTCAGCTGTTGTCCTCAGTCACCAGGCGACAAGATGGTGGTGATGAGATGATGGTGATGAGATGATGGTGACGAGAGGATGGTGATAAGATGGTGGTGATGAGATGATGGTGATGAGATGGTGGTGATGAGATGGTGGTGATGAGATGAGGTGGATGAGATGGTGGTGATGAGATGATGGTGATGAGATGGTGGTGATGAGATGATGGTAATGAGATGAGGTGAATGAGATGGTGGTATTGAGATGATGGTGACGAGAGGATGGTGATGAGAGGATGGTGGTGATGAGAAGGTGGTGATGAGATGATGGTGATAAGATGGTGATGAGATGGTGGTGATGAGATGGTGGTGATGAGATGATGGTGATGAGATGGTGATGAGATGATGGTTTGCCCTCTGCTGGTTCGGCCCGACCCCACCTATGGGTTCTGCTTGCTGGAGTCACAGCTGAGTCACCTCCCCCATCGCTCCGCACAGGCCTTGAAAGGAAACTTAGGGAAAATGTGCCCCCTCTACACACGAGAAACGTACCCCCGTTCATGTGTGGGGAATGTACCCTTTGCACACAGTGCACATGCTAAAGCGTGCAGCCGTGCGATCTCTGTCAGATCAGTCTGGGGCCCTGTCTGTCGGACGGTAAGTCCCTATCATTCCCTGACTGAGACCCACAGAAGCACCGATGGCCAAGTCCCCCTCTGCACCTCCCACGGGGCCTGCAGGGAGCTGGGTTCTTCCGGTGACCCCGCTGAGGCCCAGGGCCCTGCTCGCCGTGTCCCTCCTGAGGACGAAGGGAATGTGTTTGACCCCCGGGCTCTGCACGGCCTTGGGACCATGCGCTCAGCACCCCTACCTCCTCCCCCCCGCCCCCACTCTCCCCGCAGAAGTCCAAGATCGCCACCTACGAGAAGATGTGGGCCTTCATGGGCAGCAGGCCGCACGCCCTGGTGAGCAGCAGCGAGGACGGCCTCCGGCGCGTGCTCTCCGCTGACTACGCGCTGCTCATGGAGTCCACCAGCATCGAGTACCTGACCCGGAGGAACTGCAGCCTCACGCAGGTCGGGGGCCTCATCGACGCCAAGGGCTACGGCGTGGGGACCCCGATGGGTAAGGGGCGACGTCAGCCGAGGCTTGGAGGGCGGGCATGTAAGGGGTGGCAGGGAGTGTGGTAGGGAGCGTGGCTGGCATTTCACCTTTAGAGCCGTTTTCTCACCGGAAAATCCATCCTTTTAGTGGAGAAAGCAGAGTCTAACTCCAAAGCACTCCACTCTCCTTTGCAGCTGGGCTTTGGGACTCTGGGTAGAAAGGAAAACAGCAGCCCTGGCCTGTTTGGCTCAGTGGGTAGAGCGCCAGTCTGTGGACTGAAGGGCCCAGGTTCCATTCCAGATCAGGGCACAGGCCCGGCTGTGGGCTCCCTCCCCAGTGGGGGGCGTGCGGGAGGCAGCGATCAGTGACCCTCTCATTGTTGATGTTTCTATCTCTCTCCCTCTCCCTTCCTCTGAGATCAACAAAAACGTTTTACAATATGATTTAAAAAAAAATTAAAAATAAACAAAAGGGATAGACAGTGTGGATGGGGTTCATCTCTGGCTTGAGCACCCATTCCCTTGGCCAGTCAGTGTGCGGAGGCTCACTGAGACCCCACTCCCCGACTCCACCTTCTCCTGCGTCCCCCCCCTCCCCTCCGAGCCCCCCATGTCCCCCGCTCCAGACGGGGTCCCTCACTCCCCCCACCGTATCCCCCAGGCCCCCCGCTCCGGACGGGGTCCCTCACTCCCCCCACCGTGTCCCCCGTGTCCCCCAGGCCCCCCGCTCCGGGACGGGGTCCCTCACTCCCTCCCACCATGTCCCCCGTGTCCCCCAGGCCCCCCGCTCTGGGACGGGGTCCCTCACTCCCTCCCCACTGTGTCCCCCAAGCCCCCCGCTCTGGGACGGGGTCCCTCACTCCCCACCCCCCGTGTCCCCCAGGCCCCCCACTCCGGGACAGGGTCCCTCACTCCCCCATGTCCCCCAGGCCCCCCGCTCCGGGACGGGGTCCCTCACTCCCCCGTGTTCCCCAGGCCCCCCGCTCCGGGACGGGGTCCCTCACTCCCCCGTGTCCCCCAAGCCCCCCGCTCCGGGACGGGGTCCCTCACTCTCCCCCCGTGTTCCCCAGGCCCCCCGCTCCGGGACGGGGTCCCTCACTCCCCCCCGTGTCCCCCGTGTCCCCCGTGTCCCCCAGGCCCCCCGCTCCGGGACGGGGTCCCTCACTCCCCCCTGTGTCCCCCGTGTCCCCCAGGCTCCCCGCTCCGGGACAGGGTGTCCGTGGCCCTGCTGCAGCTGCAGGAGGAGGGGAAGCTGCACGCCATGAAGGAGAAGTGGTGGCGAGGCCGCGGCTGCCCCGAGGCCGGCCCGGAGGCCAGTGCCCTGGGCGTGGACAGTGTCGGCGGCCTCTTCGTGGTGCTGGCGGCCGGCCTGGTGCTGGCGGTGCTCGTGGCCGTGGGCGAGCTCCTGTACGCGGCCCGCAGGGGCCGGCAGGTGAGCCGGGTGGGCGGGGCGGTCTGCGTGGACGTCGCGTTTGGGGACCTGGGGGCATCCCCTTCCGTAAGGGCCTGGGGACCTGGATGTCAGAGAGGTCGATCGGAGCCCCGGGCCGGCCGACCTTCCTCCGTGTGGACGAGGGGACCGGCCGCCGTGCGGGGGCAGCCGGACGGTTCCCGGGCGACAGGGAGGCCCTCAGCGAGGACGGAATAGACCGCACGTTGTGCTTTCACACAGAACCCCGCGCCTCCGCCCAGGCCTCGCGGGGCTGCAGGCTGCCACTGCCTTCCGGCCGGATCCACACGGTGCATCTGTGGGGCCGGAGCAGGGCTTCGACCTTCCCGGAGGAATCTCAGCGAAAACAGCCTGGCTTGGGGCTGAGCATCGACCTATGACCCAGAGGTCAGGGTTCGATTCCCGGTCGGGGCACAGGCCCAGGTTGTAGGCCCCATCCCCGGTGTGAGGCGTGCAGGAGGCAGCCGATCTATGACTCTCTCATCCTTGATGTTTCTTCCCCCACCCCTTCCGCTTCCTCTCTGAGATCAATAAAAATATTCTTAAAACGAAGAGTAATGTCAACGAAACAATCCCACCTTAATGGAACCCCTCAGGCAGGGATGTGTCAGAGAGAGGACCGGGGTCCTGTCCGTCTGTCCTCTGACCCCCGTGCATGCGAACGGCGTGGTGAAACCCACGGACACACCCTCTGCATCCGTGTGCGTCTGTGATCTCCGCTGCCCCCGTGTCACGGCTCACACACTCGCTTTCCTCCCTGTCCACCCATCACCCCGCTGGCCGGCCCCCGGGGTTTCCCGCAGAAAACACACAGTAAATGGTGCTTTCTTCTTTCTCTTCACCACAAAGGAAAGTCACAGAATCGGGTTGTGTTTCAGGAACAGAGTCCCCGGGAGAAAAGGCACAGCCTGGGTGCCGCTCTCCCTGTGTCCCCCGAGGTCCAGGCGCCTGGCCCTCGGGCCTGGTCTCCCCCCGTGGGCAGGGCCTCACCGTCCTCTCGGTCTCGGCCGGCCCGTGTCTGCCTGGGAGCCCCTGGGGGAGGTGGTGTCACTGCGTTTGCCAATGAAGCCCGTCTGCCCGCTGCCTTGGTTTCCCCGCGCGGGAGAGGCGGCGGCCGGGGCGGGCGCAGACGTGGGCCTGCGGGCGGGTCCTGGTGTCGGCCGCGCCGGGGGCAGCGGGACAGGAGCTGGTTATTGACCTCTGCCCTCTGCCCTCTGCCCTCAGTGCCTCTCCTTCAGCGCCATCCTGGGAGAACTGGGCCTCCCGCTCAGGAACCACAGGAAGTGGAAGAGGAAGCCGAGGACGAAGGGGAAATCCGCCCTCACCAGCCTCCTCGCTTGTCACCCCGGACGGACTCCGCGGAGGAGGGAGGCGGGGCCCCCCAGGGCGGGGCCCCCCGGGATGGCGCCCCCAGGGACGGGGCACCCCAGGGCGGGGCCCCCCAGGACGGCACCCCCAGGGATGGGGCACCCCAGGGTGGGGCCCCCCAGGACGGCACCCCCAGGGACAGCGCCCCTGGGCAGCTGCCGGGCGGACGGGGCTCACACCTCCGGCTCCTGGAGGAAGAGCTTCTGACCAGCGCGCGCTGGCGTCGGCCCCCGCCGGCGGGGGACTGTGCACGGACAGCACACGGACAGCACACGGACAGCACATGGGCAGCACACGGACAGCACACGGGCGGGGGGACGCCCCGGCCCGCTGGTCCTGGGAGGGCCGTGTCTTTGGAACGGATCGGCTCGCGGACTCACCCATCTCCTCCCGCCCGGTGCTCCGGGTGCTCCTGGCCGTTAATAAACGCCGGTGCTTTCTAGAACGCGTCTGGCCGGTCTGTCCCCCTCGCTCCCGCGCCGGGCCCGGCTGCCCACGGTCTGATGAGGACCAACCGATGACAATAAATGGCTGACGTCCAGGTCCCGTCACTGAGGCAGGGCGGCACCCGGGGCCTGCAGGGCTGACCGCCTTCGGGCCGAGCGTGGGGAGCAGCGCCTGGGGCAGCGCCGACCGGTTCATGGTGAACCACCTGCACCTCGCCGTGGAGAGAAGCACGCAGAACGGGGGCCACGAGCACGCACATGCACACACACTCACATGTACACTCACACTCACACACACACACACGCACACACACACACTCACATACACACTCACATACACACATGCACACTCACACACTCACACTCACACACACTTACACACTCACGTACTCGCACACACACACTCACACATACGCACACTCACACACATACACACATTCATATTCACACATACGCACTCGTACACACTCACACATACACATGCACACACAAGTACACACACTCACACACATACATACACTCACACATAAACACATTCATATTCACACATACACATGCACGCACACGTACACACTGACACATGCACACACTCACACATACACACATACACATGCACACAAGTACACACACTCGGATGCACACTCACATTCACACACATGTACATGCTCACACATATACACACATTCATATTCACACATACATATGCACACATGCATACACATGCACACACATACACATGCACACTCGGATGCACACTCACACACACCTGTACACACATACACACATATACACATTCATATTCACACATACACATGCATGCACAGGTATACGCTCACACATACACATGCACACACAAGTACACACACTCGGATGCACATACACAGACTCACACAATGCACATACACACGTTCACATTAAACACGTGCACATACATACACTCACATGCACACCCACACATACACTCACAGACCCAATTCCCTGAAAGTGTCACCATTAAGAGGCTCGTTGGCCGCTGTAACCACAGTCCGCTGTGCTCTCCTTCCATCAGCCCCAATTGAGCAGATTTCCTAATTAAGCCTGTTCCAGCCGAGAAGCCTTTCTGATTAGATTCCTAATTTACACGGAGCTCCGTGCTCTAGGGAAGGGAACGGGGGAAGGGGAGGAGGGCCTGAGAGTTCATCAGCCTCTGGAACTCTCCTGTGCACTCTGACCCCGTCAGTAACACAGGCCTTGTTCCTCCGGAGCCCGCCTGCGGAAGAACTGTCTGTCCGGCGTCAGGTCAGCGGGCGGTGCTGGTGGGCAGTGGTGGGCGGACAGTGCTGGTGGACAGTGCTGGTGGGCAGTGCTGGGTGGGCAGTGCTGGTGGACAGTGCTGGGTGGACAGTGCTGGGTGGACAGTGCTGGTGGGCAGTGCTGGTGGGCAGTGCTGGGTGAACAGTGCTGGGTGGACAGTGCTGGGTGGGCAGTGCTGGTGGACAGTGCTGGGTGGACAGTGCTGGGTGGACAGTGCTGGTGGGCAGTGCTGGTGGGCAGTGCTGGGTGAACAGTGCTGGGTGGACAGTGCTGGGTGGGCAGTGCTGGTGGACAGTGCTGGGTGGACAGTGCTGGTGGGCAGTGCTGGGTGAACAGTGCTGGTGGGCAGTGCTGGTGGACAGTGCTGGTGGGCAGTGCTGGTGGACAGTGCTGGTGGGCAGTGCTGGTGGGCAGTGCTGGGTGGACAGTGCTGGTGGGCAGTGCTGGTGGACAGTGCTGGGTGGGCAGTGCTGGTGGACAGTGCTGGTGGGCAGTGCTGGTGGGCAGTGCTGGGTGGACAGTGCTGGTGGGCAGTGCTGGGTGGACAGTGCTGGTGGGCAGTGCTGGTGGACAGTGCAGGGTGGGCAGGGAGGGAGGGGGCCGTGCAGGGAGGGAGTGGGTGAGGCTCCCAGAACGGGGCACAGTGCCCTCTGAAATCAGCATTCGCAACGGCCTGGAGGGAGCTGGGGAGCGTCGTGCTGAATGAAATAAGCAGTCGGAGAAAGATAAGTATCACAGGATCTCACTCGTTTGTGGAATATAATGAACAACACAAACTGGTGAACAAAAACAGATCCAGAGACAGAGAAGCATCGATCAGACCGACCAACCTCAGAGGGAAGGCAGGGGAGGGAGGGGAAGGGGGAGAGATCAAAGGACTTGTAGGCATGCAACTGAGCCCAACCAACAGGAGGTGAGGGCATGAACGGGGGGTGGGGGGGCAATGAGGGGATGGGGAAACATATGTAACACCTTAATCAATCAATCAATAAAGTACAAACATATATACATTGTTTTAAGTTGGGGCAGCGCACCTTGTCACCGCCCTGCAGAGCCCCTGGCGGGTGTCGGCCGCCCCAGGCCGCTCTGCCTGCAGCCACCCCAGGGGCCCCGTGCCTCAGCGCGACGTCCACACAGGCTCGCTCGTGTGGAGGTGCCAGGGGAGGCGGGAGCCAGGCTGGGCAGCATTTCCTGGGAGCTGGTGGTATCGTACCTCGGCCCCTTGCTCCCGTGAGCGTGTGCAGAGCGTGTGCAGAGCGTGTGCAGAGCGTGTGCAGGGGGAGCAGGTTTGTAGGATTCAGATCCTTTGGCTGTTACGGGAGGAGGAAGGGCTTCCCTGCACAGCCTAGAGTGCCGGGCGGTTAAACACAAAGTGACTCTGACGTTTAATTTAAAGCCGCCTCCTGGCTGCGCGTTTCCACTTCACTTCACCTGACGCTGAAGCAGCCCCGGCGGCTCTGGGCGGCAGCTGAGCCCTTAACTCCTGCCCTTCACGCTCGGTGGCCCCCACACGGGACCCCTCAGGCCCGCGCCCCGCTTTTAACCTCTTCACCGACATCAGCACAGCATCTCCCGGTGTTTCCTGGGCCAGCTTTCCCCGTTACCACAGCAACGGCTCTGGCTCCGGTCCCACCTGGGACCCCTGCAGACGCCCTTCGAGGGCGGGGCCCCCACCTCAGCCGGAGGGGGGGGAGCAGCCCTGGAGGAAGCGCATCCCCAGCCACCTTCCCGGGAGAGCCTTCCCAATCACCGGGAGAGCCTTCCCAATCACCGCCTCCCGGGAGAGCCTTTCCCAATCACCGGGAGAGCCTTCCCAACCACCACCTCCCGGGAGAGCCTTCCCAAGCACCGGGAGAGCCTTCCCAATCACCGCCTCCCGGGAGAGCCTTTCCCAATCACCGGGAGAGCCTTCCCAATCACCGCCTCCCGGGAGAGCCTTCCCAAGCACCGGGAGAGCCTTCCCAATCACCGCCTCCCGGGAGAGCCTTTCCCAATCACCGGGAGAGCCTTCCCAACCACCACCTCCCGGGAGAGCCTTCCCAAGCACCGGGAGAGCCTTCCCAAGCACCGGGAGAGCCTTCCCAATCACCGCCTCCCGGGAGAGCCTTCCCAAGCACCGGGAGAGCCTTCCCAATCACCGCCTCCCGGGAGAGCCTTCCCAACCACCGGGAGAGCCTTCCCAATCACCGGGACGTGGTCTCACGATGCGAGCCGGCTCCCCGGCCAGGGGACCGGGTCTCAGGACCATGAAGCACAGGTAGGGACGCCTCGGACGCCTCTCACGGCCACACGGGTGCCGGGTGCCTCCTGGGGCCGGAGGAACAGGGACATAACACAATGGGACGACAGCAAACCGAAACGCGACTGCACAGCCACAGGAGCCAACAGCAAGCTGAAAAGGAGCCACCGAACGGGAGGACGCATTCACCAATGATACACCTGGCCGGGTTTAATTTCCAAAACACGACAGAGTTTACACAGCCCAACACCAGGAAGGCAAGCGATCGGTTAAGAAACGGGCAGGGACCTGCATAGACCCGGCTCCAACGCGGGCAGACAGAGGCCGAGGGACAGAGGAAGATGCTCAAAGGCACGGACCATCGAGATGCAATTTAAACCACAGTGAGTACCACCCACCCCGTCAGCATGGTCACCATCCGCCCCTCAGCGCGCGCCATGTGCGGGCGAGGGTGGGAGGGAAGGGAGTCTGGGTGCTGCTGGGGGGATGAAGGCGGGGGCGGCCTCTGTGGAGAACAATGTGGAGTCTCCTCAGAAAGTTAAATAGGGAGCTCACTGCCTTTTTAAAAAATATGTTTTATTGATTTTTACAGAGAGGAAGGGAGGGGGATAGAGTTAGAAACATCGATGAGAGAGAAACATGATCAGCTGCCTCCTGCACACCTCCCACTGGGGATGTGCCCACAACCAAGGTACATGCCCTTGACCGGAATCGAACCCGGGACCCTTCAGTCCACAGGTCGCCGCTCTATCCACTGAGCCACACCGGTCAGGGCCTAACTGCCTTTTGACCCAGCAATCCCACTTCCGGGAATTTATCCGAAGAAACAGGAAACAGACTCGGAAGAGTGTGCACCCGTGTTCACGGCAGCACAGTTCACGGTGGCTGAGACCTGGAGCAGCCCCGGCCGTCAGCAGACGGTGAACAGCTGTGGGACGTTCACGCCGGGGACACCCCGCGGCACAGGCACAGCCAATGGCAACGGCTCACAGCGCACCTCACGCCTTTTTAACCTGTTTAGCCTCAGACGGCCCGCTGCACCGTCACCGTCACTCTGTCGGCGGCCGGCGGCCTGCTTCCCACGTGGAGACGCTGGCACAGGGGCCGTTCGGTCACTCGCCGCAGTCACACGACAGGTCACTTGCTCTGTTAAACCAAAAAGCGGGCAATTCTCCCCGAGAATCCTGGACGTGGTCGAGATCCTCAAGGCGGGAGAGCGATGCTTTCTGCAGCCAAATGGGGGCAGGTTCAGACACAACCCTGAAAGGGAGGGGGGAAGCAAAGCTGATTTGTAACTAAAAAGAAGGACGCAGGCAGGGGCAGGACTCGCCTCCTGGTGTGCAAGGACTAGGCATCCTTCCCAGGATGTGAGCACGACTCTGCTGCCACGGGCGGCTGCCACCCAGCGGCCACTGAGGGAATTACAGCTGCTTTAAATCATTCCAAAGGCTTTCCCCCACCCCCTCAAAAATAAAAATCGCCTGTGAAAATTCTCCAATCTAGAGATCCCATCTGGGACTTCTCATCATCCAAGCAAACTCTCATCCTACCAGGGGCTAAGACGCATCTGGGGGGGGACACAGCTCTGGCCAAAGCCCTGGGTCTGAGCAAACCTGGGGTCGGTCCATGAGAAACGCTTAGCATTCTGTCCTAAAACGGAAAGGCAGAGACCAGCCCTGAGGCAGCTGCACTTCCTTCTCACTCCTCTCTCACCCGCCCCACTCCCCAAAGATGCTCGAAGTCATCAATCATCTGAGATGCGCTTTTAAACCACAAGGTTCCACCTCACACCTGTCAGAATGGCTGCCATCAACAACAACAACAACAACAAAAAGTGCTGGGAAGTATGTGGAGAAAGAGGAACTCTCCCGCACTGCTGGTGGGAATGCAGGCTGGTGCAGCCGCTGTGGAGAACGGTATGGAGTTCCCTCAAAAAATTAAATATGGAACTCCCATTGGACCCAATGATTGTGGGAATATAAACATCAATCAGAAAGGATATACACACCCCTATGTTCATAGCAGCACAGTTTATAACAGCTAAGATCTGGAAACAGCCCACGTGCCCATCAACAGATGAGTGGATAAAAAAGCTGTCTGGTAATTTCTTATCGCCCCCCTGAGCCAATGACTCTCCCGCCCCCACCTTTAACACCAGGGTCAACAATCTCCTATCCATAAAAAACGAACAACAGGTAACCTTCGTTTGATGAGACTCAAAACTCATGATTTTACTACCACCTCGTGACCTTGCAAAAAAACGTAATCCATTGTTTGCCTTTTTCCTTAAGGTTTGAAAAGTGAAAAATGACAAGAAACGTTTCAGTTCCGTTGTTTTGGGGCAAAATCCTGGCAGGAAGTGTTGGTTAAAATTAGTTGCCAATGACGACGGAGGTTGTGAAGGTCCTAGCATGGCGTGGGGGACATTTCAAAGGGAATTCGCATTTACTGGGAGCTTTAACGGCCTCTGTGAGTCTAGTTCTATCGAATGTTATTGTGTCCAAGTCCTATACAAGTTTGTTTTTTCTCAAAAGTCAAAATGTGCGATCAAAAGTATGAAAGCAACTGAGGACAAATGCATGCGGTCCAGGAAAACGTGCCTCCCGCTCAGATGCTCGAGGACTCCAGGAGATCCTCGTTACCACATCCCTCACTGATGATGCCCATCAGAGATTAATTGAGGTTATGCATCCGTTAGGGATGGCGAGGTCTGTTCGGGGAGGCGATAAAAAATTAACAACCATTTCTCACTCCACTGAAGGAAAAAAATCAGTTAAACCCTTTAACCTACATGATTGCAAAGACTTTGAAGCAAATTAATGCTAAATCCCCTTGCCATTCATTTGCAAGTATGTCCACCTCGTGGGGGGTATGTTTATTTCACTGAATGAAACAGCCAGTGATCATTCGGAACTGCTTATAATCCAAAAGCAGCGATTTGGGAGTAAGGAAGCATCCTGTGCAGAAGAGTAGGAAAAAGATCAGAGAATAATGTATAGGCGAAGACTTAGGATGAGGAGGAAAAGAAGGAACCGGAACTTGCTACGTCGCAGGGGAACTCTGGCTCAGCGGGTGACTTGCATTCGTTTGGAAATCACTGTTTACTCTAGAGCTCACACACGTCCCCACAGTCAAAGAGGCCATGGTTAGAACGAGCCTCAGAGATCATACAAGTCCAGCACTGCTCCTGCCCAGAGATTTAGTCGCCTCTGACATCACCTCTGCCAAGCTGGTAATGTTATGACTAGCGATTGAGTCTCCAAATTACATTGCAAATGAATGCATAGTAGGGCAGCAATGAACACATAGTGGGAGAGCACCTTTCCACTCCTGTAAAAAGCTGGAACAGAGTCAGCACCCGGTGCATGTTAGCTAGTATTAGGAATTGTTAAACCTTTAACGGAATATAAATTGTGTGTTTTCTAACAGATAAGAGCCCACACGGGACCTGTGTCTCCAGTCCATCATGTCTCCAACTTGTTCTGTAGCCCATTCTCCACTCTTTCCCACTGTGTGTAATGTTCAGCATTTGATACATCCTTTAAGCTAGTCTGAATTCTCTCCTGAACTGCGAAGGCTGTAAAAGATTTAAAGCTGAACACCTTGCTTGGAAGAACATATAAGCTCTCACTGGACTCTGTAAACCAGTTTGACTTTGATGCCTTTATTGAAACCTTACAAAGGGTGAGTTCCTTTCATTTAATCATCTTCATCATCATCATCATCACCACCACCACTGCCATCATCATCACCACCACCATCATCACCATCACCACCATCATCACCATCATCACCATCACCACCATATCACCACCACCATCACCACCACCATCACCATTATCATCATCTACAATGATGATGGTGGTGGTGGTGGTGATGATGTCATCACCACCACCACCACCATCATCACTACCATCACCACCTTCATCATCAACATAACCACCATCATCATCACTATCACCATCATTTCACAGATGAAGACAGCAATGTCCAGGTAAGTAAAGGGCTTTGTCCAATACATTAAGCACAAGAAGAACCTGAGTCCCTTGGCTCCGAGCCCTGCCCTCTTCCCCTGTGTGCTGCCTGCCCTGCCCTGTTCTGTGCTGCACCACCCAATACTATCCCTTCTGCATGAATTCCGTTAGCTTCGTAGAATTTATTTCTGGTGCACGAAATGAGATGAAATCCAAGGTATCACTAATTGTCCCAACGTCCTGTACTGAACAGATGCCCTTTAACCGTTGTTTGCCTCATCCACCACGTGCTAAACACACACGGGAAAGTTCACCTGCTCTGGTCCTTCTGCAGGCCGACACCACGGTCGGTGTTCTCCCTACTTGACGTTCCAGCATAGAGCTCCTCCCCTCGTTCCCACGCCTCTTACCTTCGAAGGGGGTCATCCTGGGCAGGGGCCACTTTTTGGACCAGGGAGATGGGGAATGGCCTGGAAGAAAGTTCCAGAGGCAGGGCTGGACTGACCAGAGAATCGCCTGTGACCTGGAGGAGGAGGAGGCTGAGCAGGAGAGGTTACAGGTCTGTGACCTGGAAGAGGAGGAGGAGGAGGAGTAAAAGGAGGAAGAGTTGGAGAAGGAGGAGGTGGTGACCAGGAGCAGGACGAGTTGGGAGCCGGGAGCCGTAGCCTCAGGCGACTGAGTGAGGGGGTGGGGGCCTGGGATGAATTCTGAGATTGGGTTAAACCTTCCTCCTTGGGCTCCCTGATGTTTCATCTGATGCCTGGATGCCCTTCATCAGAACTCAGAGGATCCTTCATCTCCAGTCTGAGACAGAAGAGGATTCCAGGCTCTGACCTGCCTCCTGCCGCCCTCACTCTCCCTGGTGCTGGTTACAGAGAATGAGGACCCTGGAGAATGGACATCCTGAAGAACGGAGATCCTGGAGAACGGAGACCCTGGAAGTGGTGAGGGAAACGTGGGGATGGAGGGGTTTCAGCAGAAGGAACGATGAGCATGTGAGCATGCGGGGGGGGGGGGGTAAGGGGGCAGACTGGGAATATTGGAGCAAGTTTCTGGGCTCAGGAGAGGTGCTTATGTGTGCTCAGCTGGGGGTCCCCACACCCCAGCCGCCGGCTCAGAGCCCACCTGCTCGCATGCTCAGAGTGGTTTCCACATTTAGGGAGGACGGTGCTCGAAGAGAAAGGCACCTCCCGGGCCCCTGTGCACAGAGCCGGCAGCACTGTCTCTGGAGGAGGACGTGGGCCCACCCTCCACCCTCCAGCCTCCACCCTCCAGCCTCCACCCTCCACCCTCCACCCTCCACCCTCCAGCCTCCACCCTCCAGCCTCCAGCCTCCACCCTCCACCCTCTACCCTCCACCCTCCAACCTCCAGCCTCCACCCTCCAGCCTCCACCCCCCACCCTCCAGCCTCCAGCCTCCACCCTCCAGCCTCCACCCTCCAGCCTCCACCCTCCACCCTCCAGCCTCCACCCTCCACCCTCCAGCCTCCACCCTCTACCCTCCACCCTCCACCCTCCGTGGGAGGAGACAGGATGGCCGAGTCGCATGTCGGGCAGCGGGAGGTGCTGGGCGGGAGCCCAGGTGGCCCTCGCACAGGTAACTGGGACTCACTTTCTCAGCAAACACACACCTGGGCCCCTGACCCTGCCCTCTGCCGGCTGCATCGCAGGAGACTGCCTGGCCTCGCCTGGAACCCTCAGGGCCCACAGGAACCCGCAGAGCCAGGGATGGGAAAACCTCACTGCTCCGGCTGGCCTGGCTGTGAACAGGGCGGCGGCCTTCCCAAGGCCGCTTCCTCCGCCTGAGCCGGTGGCTCCCAGGAGACGGGCACCTCCACCGGAGATGGTGACCCACAGCGGTCACGCCCACGCCGGTGGATCTGCTGGGGGTTGGAAACACTCTGACCTTGTCCCCAGCCGCAGGGGGAGCGTCCTGCCCGAGGACAGGAGCCCGCCCCCGGTCTGTGGTCTGTTCCAGCTGCTCCTGACCAAGCCTGACTCACGCGGCCAGCCGGTTGCAGGCGGGGCTGCGCTGCCATCCATGGGTGGAAGGAAAAATCACGCGCAGTGAGTTCTGACTAGGCCAGGATGTGAGCAGTTCCAGGAACAGAAGAAAATAAGACAAAATACGGTCCCAAGTGCCGGGCTACGGACCTTCCCCGGGCTAACGTCCTGAGACCCTGATGCTGACAAGCAGACCAGGCCTGTGATGCCGCAGCCTGTGATGGCGATCCGGACGGCACGGCGAGGCCCGGTGCGTTGAGAAGGGCGGGGACGCAGGGGCAGCGGGAGCCCATCCCCGAGGCCCTGCCTTGGTTCTTGGTGAGAAAACTTCTTGCCTTTAGGTTTCTGGCCGCCGTGCCCATAGTTTTTGCTTCTTAAAACCGCGTTTGACCGTTTCCGGTTGCGGGGGCCCGTCCGGGATCCACGTGCTCCGGTGAAGGCGATGGAGCGAATGAGAGCTGGTCACCGGGGCGGACATGTCTGCAGGATGCTCACAGAGATCTAACATGCCTGGGGGTGGTCGCTCTGGATGCACAGCATCGACTCTGTGGTCAGCATGTTTCCCGTCAGTCCAGCAGTTCAAACCTGGAGAAGCGCCAGGAGGAGGGCGCACAGGCCGACGGCCGGGGCACTGTGAGGTCAGCACACAAAGGCACGGAGAGCCACGCAGAGCGAGGGCTGCCCTCAGTGATCCCAGCAGAGTCCAGGACAGGAGTCACCGGGTCCCTCAGAGGCCTTGGACGCCGCCCTGATGGCATCTCGGCGCGCCTGGAGTTTCTGGGGTTACCCCTCGGGGTGGAAGGGCCTCTCATGGGCAGGCCTGTCCAGAACAGCAGGGCCGTGCCCAGCGCTGCCACGAGGACAGGCCTGGCTGAGGCGCTAGGGTTGAGGACCCAGTGTTTCCAGGGGAAGAGTATGAAGGGGACACCCCTCCCTCATCCAGCTTCCGGGTCTTTCATAAACCCCTGCCCCTGCCCCCCATGGCCCTAGGTTCTAGCCAGTCCATTGAAGGGGGAGGCCGACCGGCTGGCCCCAAGCGCTGAGACCTGCCCTCCAGGGGCACAGTCGCCTGCCCGCTTCCCCACCCCCTGGGGGCGCTGTCCCGGTTAAGCTGGACACCTGGCTGGGGTTCACCCATGTTTAGCAAACCCACTGGGCTCACCTGCACAGCCGCACCCTCCAAGGACCTCTTGCAATGTGTATGCCACGCCCCTTCTTTCTCAAAGGGCCCCAAACTCTAAGCAGGTGAGGTGCAGGGGCAGAGGGTGCAGGGGCAGAGGGTGCGGGTGCTACTTCCTGGCCCCTCGGAGACTGTGACACCCACCCCTCTCACTTCCGTCCTCAAAGCCCCTGCATCTGACCTCATGGTAACCATGGTGACCACAGGGTGGCCTCATGGGGCTGCCAGGCCCTTGGCCTCTCCTACTGTGACACTGCCTTGGTGCCCACACATGCCAGGCTGACTGGTGGCCCCTCTTCTGGCACATGGCCCTCACTGAGATCCCCAGCCTCTGACACTCCACTTCTCTCCTCCTCAGACGCAGCCGCACGCACCCGGACTGGTCTCACAGCAGCTCCGCCCAGCAGCCTGCCCCAGGCGGGCCGGGTGAGGGTGTGGCATCTTGGGTGGTTGTTACTTTGCTGCGAGGGTCGCCGTGCACCTGACACCCGCCCCCGCTTCCCTCTGCCCTGTCCTATGTCCTGCCCCTGCTACTCTGGAGATTGCCAGACTCTAGGATGTAAGAGCCCCTGCTGCTGAGTCACATTTCCTGGAGACGGAGAGGAGCACACTGGGCGTGCAGGCTCTGGGCAGCCAGCCTGGTACAGGGCCTGGCTGGACGTAGCTGTCACCTGGGAGAGGTGCCTGAGCAGGTGACCTGTAAAACCAGAGACACAGCATCCCCTCAAAAAGCCCCCCCCACTCCACCCGAAGTCAGGGAGGGTGGCAGCCGTCCTCCCTTCACCCGTGTCTGGGAACAGGATTCGGGCACCATCATCAAATAGGAAGTCCTCCCTCAGCCAAGTACTTCCTGACCAAAGTCTGAGATTGGTAAAGTCACCTCAGAGGTGGAAATGATGGAATATACAACGCTATTCAATTAGAAGCAATTTTAGGGAATTTTATTTAACTGTCAATTTATTGCCAACATCTAACATCTATCGTTTTGCTACATTTGGATAAGCACATTAGGGAGAAAATATAAATTAAATACTATGAAAGTTTTCTTTTAATGAAATATGACCTTAATTGGCTATGAATATATAAATTTAGTGGTTTTATTGCATTGTTAGAAAATTATATTAAGAAAGATACAAAAAAATCAATAGATGTTTATTTACAATTAGTATGCCATTACGGCTTTAAATTTTCATTTACCCAACAGGTTTCAAAGAATAGTTTATTACATGCCTTAATAAAACCCTTAAAATATTTACAAATTCAAAACAGATGTTTTATACGAAAACAAGTTCACCTGAGAATTCATTATAACATTGCTGTCTGGGTTTTTCCAAGTTGTGAATGGGGCTGAGTGTCCACATGCAACCTGTATCGTCTACCACATCAGATATATTTAATTCCCGCCCGGCCAGCATGGCTCAGGGGTTGAACATCAATCTACGAACCAGGAGGTCACAGTTCGATTCCTGGTCAGGGTACATGCCCAGGTTGTGGGCTCCATCACCATAAGAGGTGTGCAGGAGGCAGACATTCAATGATTCTCTCATCATTGATGTTTCTCTCTCTCTCTCTCTCTCTCTCTCTCTCTCTCTCTCTCTGAAATTAATAAAAGTATATTTAAAATATATATATTTAATTCCTTATTCAAAACTGGCAAAGCATTAAGCTACAGTAAATTATATTAGGAAAGTTACAAATGGAGGACCAAGATTTATATCCATGTTTGCTTTGAGCATAACAATTTAACAAATCATTTGCTTTAGGTGAACTGAAATAACAAAATTTAAGATAATGTTATTTTGCTGGTTAGGCAATAGCTTTTTAAAAACCATCAAGCATTGAGAAAGCCGATTCATACACCAGGGGCCGGGCCCTGTGACCATGCAGCCGATACGGAAAACCACCTTCCCGGCTTCTGCCGGAGACCCTGGTGCACAGTGCGCATACAGCCCGCACCCGCAGGAAAGTCAACTTCAAAACACTTTTAGGAAAAACCTCTTTAGAAGTTAGCTTTAAAATACGTATAAGTGTGTAATCCTATGCAATCTGTAGAAAACTACAGCCAAAAGACAAAGATAAAATCGTTTTTATCTTCCTGTCCCTCAGTTACAACTTGGAAATCACGAGGTGTGAGGTAGTGTAGTTCCTTATCCCATGCTGGCTAGTAAAACAATGCTATGCTTTACAGTTGGCCAATAACCGGAGCATCATTACCATAAACCCTTAATGCTAAGCTGTTATATGTAGAGCTCAATTTAAACCCAATGCCTTAAAAATCATATATAAACTCGGGAGACAGCTAGGACTTATCATTAAAAGAGAGAGGAAGCTTTCAAAGCAGTTATTTACAGCGGCAATTAAGCAGGTCATGTGACACCTGCACCTGCGCGCACACACACACACACACACACACACACACACACACGAGCGCACACTGCTGACAGACAGCTGAGTGTCAGTTGAGGTAGGAAATCAAGGATTCCATTGGCTTGTATTCGATTTTACATTTGTAAACCATTTTTATATTATTTCGTATTTTGAAGTTGTAAGTATCAAACAGCTACGCGGGGATGTCTGTGCCCACACACTTTATAGGTGGGGGTGCATTAGCACAGAGCTAGTCTCATTCTCCCTGACACATTCTTGAGTGTATTTGTGAAAGCCTCTAGACTGTAAGCAAGTCCAACTAGTTTTCTCACAACCACTAAGCCAACGAGAGACCATACGAACCTGGACACAGACCAGGAACGCCCCCTGCAGCCACCGCCCACCAGGAAGGAGCACATCCGGCCAGGAGTCCGAAGTCCTCTGGTCCCTGTGCTCTCAGCCAAAGCCGCCTCGCTTCAGGCTCGCTGTCCCGGGCGAGGGCTGTCCCCGTGGGAGCAGCACCCACGGGCCCTTTGCGTGGTTCAGGACGCACGGTATGAAGCCTTGGGTGTCCGACTTGGTGAAGTGCTGTGTAACTCAAACACCCTCACTCACCTCTTCGTACCCTTTAAAACGGGCGCTGCGAATGTTTGTGGCTGAGAACATGCTTTTCTAATGGTAGGAGGTCGAGTCTCACTTTCCTTGTCAAACAAGCCTGTAAGAGCAGGCTGCTGAGACAGCGGCAGTGCTACAGGAGCACTCAGAGGCGAAAGCTGCACTGAACAGGACGGGCAAAGGACGACTAAGAGGACCAGGACCACGGGCCCCAGGACACCCGATTCGGGAACAGAGCAGCAGGCACTCTGATTTCCTAAGTCACTCACACATGAAACAAGATCGAGTGTCACCCTGTTCCACAAACCTATGCGGTTGTTCTAGAGGCTTCTTTAAGTCTACAATAACACTTTCCACAAGTAAACAATAGGCTTTCACAACCAGACGGAAGTGCCTGCCTCTCCTAGTCCTGCAGGCGGCCCTCTCCCCAGATGTCGGGCTGTGCTGTGGGAGGCAGGCAAGCCCTCAAGGAGCCGAAGGAAACACTGCCTGAATCCAAGTCCCACTTCCCACAAAAAGACAGAGCATCAGGAGGCAGACTTGAGGACCAGCGGGGTAAACTGAGAGATGAGCCATGGCCCTTACCTGCTGCCATGACCACAGCCCCTAACGTCCACACAAGAGGCGGAGCCTCTGCCTCGGGCCGCCCCAGGCCCACGGGAGCTTAGGGGCCCAGTGCAGGCCACCCACCCCTGGTTTTAGCAGGGGCTGCGGAGCCAAGCTCCAGGCTTCAGGTATCCCAAGCAGCTGCCCCACTGTGTGCAGCCCATCAGCTCCTGGGGCCAGGCTCTCTCAGCACACGCAGGCAAGGCAGGCTCCTGACTCCCCCGGCTCTTCCTCAGGGGAACCCTGTGGACGCCTGCAGTTATACTGATGCTGGATGGGCTAGTCCACATTCTGGCATTTTGAATGAGGGGTAGAGTTGCTACTAACAGTTATTTTTTGAAACAGAATAAAAGTCTCACTGTGTGTTTGATGGGACTCTCTCTCTCCAAATGCCGCCACCTCTGCATTTCTGTGGAGTCGAGGCATCAGGGGCCTCAGAGGAGCCCTCTCGGCCACGGAGGGGAAACAGTCCTATTGGCAGACCAGTGGCTGGATGAGGCTCAGGACACACCAGAGCTTCAGCAGGAGGCTCGGGGCTGGAAGGAGGAAGTGAGGCTCACTCGTCAGTAGTGCATTTGTCGGTCATCTGCTGGCAGAAGTCGGAGATGCCTGCACTCTGCCGGCTCTGCTCCGAGGGCCCCTCGCTCTCCACCCTGGGGCTGTGCCCAGACTCCTGGGCCGGCACACAGCCCGACCCATTGTCCTTCCCGCCGGAGAAGCAGGAGCTTTGGCCCCCAGCAGGCGGTGCGGCAGGAGGTCCCTCCGGTAAACTCAGAATTGGTGGGAACACAAGAGCACCATCAGAAGTACTTTTGTCCTTTTCAGAAATTAAAAACGAAAGTGGGCATTCTGAGGCTGAGTACTTGGCGAGTATCTGAATCTGTTCCTGGCTCAGAGCCGCCTCTTTACAGACTTGCTGGCAAAGTCCGGTCAGGTTCTGCTTGGTCTCACCCAGCGTCGACAGGATGTGGTCTCTCTCCCGCAGCAAGCTCTCCTTCTCACTCTGCTGTGGGCACAGAGAGAACGCAATGACTCAGGGGCATTAGCAGCCATTTGTGTCGGCAGTGTCTTCTCGTTAAACAAGGTCATGTGTTCCTTTCAATTCAACGAGAAAGGTGTTCAATACCTCAGGTCCACAATCCCTCATCCACATTCCTAGGCCTGACGCATCTTGGGATCAGGATTTTTCAGATTTAGGAAGATAATGTGGGCGCACATCTTCCCTCTGGTGGGATCTGGACAGCCACCCACTGTCAAACATCTCTACACTTCTAAATAAAACACAGTGAAATATCAAACAACGTGCAAAGTAGAGAAGAAAAGATTCTACATTGCTGGTGTCATTTGCATCAGTTTTTGGCCAAAGTAGTTATGACACTCTCACTGTTTTCTGGTCGGTTTTCCACTCTCTGGACTTGCAGATTGCAGAAGAACAGTGTGGACTTACATTTTAGACAGGAGGGAGCCAAAGGCAGCACAAGCACACTCATCATAATGCCTGCAACTCGAATCACCGCCCGGTTCTATAGCAACTGGCATTTGAGCACTGATTCTGTGCCGAATATTGTGCACTCTCGGCTGTGAATGCCCATAGTCGGAAATCTAATGCGTGAGCTACGAGAGTGTGAAGAACTGGGGTGTGTGGGGGAGAGAGAAGGGAGGGTCTGTTTTGTCAATCATGTTGTTATTATTTGGAACTGTCCTCTCTCCAGGCAAGTCTTCACACAATGTTCTCAGGTTTGCTGGCTCCTGCAGCCTGTCCACCACCCCCTGCTGGCAGCATGCTTCCCCCTCGCTCGCTCCCTGCCTGCTGCCCCACACCTGCTCTGACCCAGCGTAGAGGAAACACATGCTGGCAGAGGCCCAGGCTCCTTGTGGGATTAGACGGGGCTCTTGGTTTTCTGCTCACGGGCAGGTTCTGTCCAGCTGACGCTGTGGTTAATTGTAAGCTGGGTGATTTCAGGGATAATCCTCTAAATAGATTCTTTTCTGGAACAAAAAAAGCTATAAGCATAAAAGGAAAGCTGCTTTATATAAAAATACTATTATTGTTTTAAATAAAAGTTTATCTAAAAAACTGTGTGTAAATCTAACTACAGTAATTAGTTTTTAAATATTTCAAAGCAGCTAATATTTTGAAAAAAAAATAAAGTACTAAATTTTTATATTGAAAAGTATCCTCCAATTTGTTCAGATTTTTATACAATTGTTCTGTTTGTTTCTGGGGAACCTACAAAGGTGGTACATGCTCCTGACTGGGAATCAACCCACAGACCCAAGCTAGTGCTCAAACCACTGAGCAAAACTGGCCAGGGCCCAAATCTGTAACTTTTCTCCTGTGTTCCCATCCACTTTAATCACTCAGCAAAATCACAAAGGTTTTAATCTCTCTCGTGCCTTCACTTGTAAAACATCTGGTTTCTCGTAAACCTTTTTACAGTTGTGCCTCGTCTTTTTAAATAGTTATATGTCCTCCTCTTTTTGCACAGTTAAAGTATACACAGAATATGTAAATTTTTACTTTTCCACTTTCTTAAAGGTATATAAAAGCATGGTTTTTTTCTAAGTTGTTTAATTGCTATTCATAGCTAGAATATTCATGCTTGAAGACTGGCTACAAGCACAATGTTAAACTCTCACCAGTAATTAACAAACACTCAAAACTGAGCACAAAAGAAATGCTGTCTGCACAGTCCCAGCTTCTGCTGCTCAGACAATGTTCCTTCCAGCCACCACTAGGGGACAGAGACACCTGGGTGCAAGGGAATAATTTTCCAATTAACTTGTGTTTTGATGTTGGAACAGAAAATAAGATTCAACAAAGCAGGCGTTCCTCACACACAGGGTCTCCTTAAATTTCAGAATGTTCCTTTCCTATCAGCATCTAACTTTTTTCCTTAGATAAAAAACCCAAGTGGGTTTGATTTGGTATCAACCAAAACAAAGTATTCAAGCCTACAGTGTATTTTAACTAACATTGAACCATTAAGAGTTCCAGATACATGGCACAAAACACTGAAGTGCCTCACAGCATCTTGCATCTTGCCTCAATCTAAGAATTATTAGGTAGGTAGTAAAACTACCTTTAATTTGTAAATCGTTAAAAAGGCACCTAGAAATAGTTCTCAGCTTGTAACATACTAAAAGCCCAGTGCACAAAATCAAACAGCTCCACCCACCCACCCACGCCAGTCTTTGGGTGTTACAGCATTAGGGCCATAAGCCTTTTAGAATCTTATCTAATAAAAGAGTAATATGTAAATTGACCATACCTCTGCTGCACCCACCAGCCATGCCCACCAGCCAATCAGAGCAGGTATGCAAATTAACCGCAACCAAGATGCCTTTAGCCACAGAGAGCAGGAGGGAGGCTTGGGTTTCTCTGGCAATGGAAGAAGCCAAGCTTTCCACCTGCCCTTCTGGCCTAAGCCTCCACTCAAGGCTACAAAGTTTCGATTATAGAAGGTAAACACATCCAAACAGAAATGGCAGCAGCCAAGGAGCAAGCAGGAGACTTGGCTCTGCTCCAGGCTACAAAGTTTCCATTGTAGAAGGTAAATAAATGCCAGGTCCCAGGGCCTCTGCTTGGGTCACCAGGGGGCGTACCCACCTGCAAACCGCCATAGGCCCCTCGCCTACGCTGCCCCACACACTAAGGGAACCCCAACCCTGATCTGGAACACCCTTCAGGGCAAATCAGCTGGCCCCCACCCATGCACCAGGCCTCTATCCTATCTAATAAAAGAGTAATATGCAGATTGACCATCACTCCAACACATAAGATGGCTGCCCCCATGTGGTCAAAGATCCTGCCCCCATGTGCACACAAGATGGCCAGCAGGCAAGGGCAGTTGGGAGGCACCAGGCCTGCAAGGGAGGGCAGTTGTGGGTGATCAATCCTGCAAGGGAGGGCAGTTAGGGGTGACCAGGCCAGCAGAAGAGGGAAGTTGGGGGCAAACAGGCCGGCAGGAGAGCAGTTAGACATCAATCAGGCTGGCATGGGAATGGTTAGAGGGTGATCAGGAAGTCAGGCAGGCGAGCAGTTGGGAGACAGCAGTCCTAGATTATTTACATAAGTAAAGTAGTCTATAAACATCCTCTTTTTATTTCCTAAATGTCATAATTTCTTTTCTTGAAATGGTATGTGGTAAATGTTAAAGTTAATGTACACCTGAACGTTCTACTCTCACTTAGGAATTAAAGTAGCTGCTTCCTCCACAATAAAGGAGAATGGGTGGATGTGGTGGGATTTAACTCTCTGGCATTCTCACCAGCTTCTCGATTTCCGACTCCAGATTCTGTATGCAGTCGAGTTTCCTCTTGCGGCAGCGCTGGGCGGCGATCCTGTTCTTACTCCTCCTCCGGATGTCGTGGATACAGTCCAGCTGTTCTGGAGTCAGCTTGTGCATCCTCAGCAAGGACTGGAAGTCGTTCCGGGAGAGGGAAATGATCCGCTGTGCGTTAAATGGCAGTTTTACCTAGGACGTGAGGCAAGCATCAGTCACCACTGCCGTGCGAGCGCTCCCAGTCACACTCAGTCCTGGAGACAAAGGCACACACATCTTCACTTCCCAGAGGCCTTCTCTTGGACTTAGAAAACACACCTCTTTGCCCAGTTCCTGTGCAATGCCTTAGGACTGGTGATTTATCTAATGTTCTTAGCCTTCTTTAAAGAGGGCTCAGAAGACAAATAAAATGAGAACCAGGTATTTTGTAAACAAATCAATTATGTCAACACAAATATTAATGTATGTAAAATGAAAAAACAATGTATTCTATTAGCACATGTTAATATCCACAGATATCTTTATGCCTCTTTCTATATTGTCTTTTTAATATATTTTTATTTATATGAGAGAGGAAGGGAGAGGGAGAGAGAGAGACAGAAACATCAAGATGAGAATTGGTTGCCTCCTGCACACGCCCACTGGGGATGGAGCCTGCAACCCGGGCATGTGCTCTGACCGGGAATCGAACCCAGGACGCCTGGTTCATGGGTTGAAGCTCAGCTCATGCTGGCCAGGCTCTAAAGTGCTTTTAATGTGTTTTTATCCAACCACCCCTTCTCCAAATATCTATTTTATTCTTTGATTTCTATTACTTTCTGGCTCTGTTTTAATACTAGTATATTAAGCTAGTATTTCTAAAACATTTCAAAGAATGTATTTTTCTGTCAGGAAATGACAGTCTCACATGACTCATTTTAAAAGCTATACATCTTACTTGCCAATGTAGGAATAATTAGGAAAATGTTGTACATATTTTAAATTCATTTTCAAGATACATAAATTTTGGGGGGAAAGTCCTAATAACAAAATTGTGTAACAACTTAATTATATTAATGACCAAAAATGCAAATAAAACATTGGTCAGTTCCTCTGGCAACCTACTTAGTTGTTACATATATGAAAAATTTTAAAAAGTTCTTAAAAGTTTTATTTTTAACTTTCTTTTCACAGTTCCAAACACTGAATTTATAAATAGCATACAAAAATCTACAGATTTAACTCAGGCATCCTCTTATTTCTTAAGTTAAATCACTAATCTCCTCCTCCCAAAGCCCAGGAAAAGAACAACCTCTTACACTCTCCCAAACCTGACACCCAACACTATCCAACCAAAGAAAAGGATAAAGAACTAAGAAGCCCTGAAATTATAGGCATGTTTTACAAGCATCAGCCGTCACTTACCCACTACAGGTAGCCCTTCCTAAACCATTAGACATCATCAAGTTAATGCTGAAAGGCTAAGGGAAACAAGGAAAGAATGGCTATGAGAGTCATGTACTAGGAGAGGCAGGTCGCACTGGAGCCACGTCCCTACAACGGTCTCGCAGTCCTGCGAGGGATGGCCCAGGTGCAGGACCTGGGGCAGTTGATCGGACAGTCCTGCTGCCCGATCAGGAGTCACACTCAGGGACCCAGCACCACTGCTCCCTCCTCGGGGACCTGGCATTTGAGGGAGCCTGTGGGCCTCCAGGCCATGGCTGGCAGAGCACCTGCTTGGTGCAGACCCCACAGTTCCACACCTCACGGTGTGGTTCCCCCAGCCAGCCCGTGCTCCCCCCGGTGGGGCGCCAGGCGCTGATAGTGAATGCCCGTCAGTGGGGGCAAAGCCTGATTGATCACCCCGAGCCCTCACCTCACATTCCTGCTCTCGGGCTGAGCAGGGCTCACTGTCCCCTTCGGTGTCCGTCTCCGAGTCGTCCCCCAAGCTGATCACACAGGCGTATGGACAGGGTTCCTGCTGGGGCTCCGAGGCGTAGCCGTCAGCTCCCATCTCCAAGCTGCTCGCATGGCCTTCGGTGTTCAGAGTGCTTATGAAGGGGCAGCTAACAGAACTTAACGTTGCAAATGTCCTCTGGCCCGGCTCCGGGCTGTCGCTAATCCTGATTCCTAACCAGGGGCACTCGGACCGCTTCTGAGAGGGGCTCTGTTCTGCCCCATCTTTGGCCCCGGCAGGTGACAGCTGCACTTGGCAAGGAGCGTCTGTGCTGCAGATGTCACTCCAGAAGCCCTTGGCCAGGTGCTCGGCCACCTCCCGCTCCACACTGCTGCGACCACCAGGAGGAGGGCCGTCCTCTCCCCGGGGGCTGGAGTCCGGTTTCAAAAGTAAATCCTCGCTTCCAGCCAAGGCCTTCTCTTCTCCGACACCTGGGCCTGACAACGGCTTTTCGGTTAACACTGCTGTGGGCTGCATACCAGCCAAGTTCAAGTCGCCATACTGGTCATAGGTGTGCAGGAGGGACAGCGAGTAGAGGCCCGGTGGGTCCGCGGTGGAGTGCAGGAACGGCGCCGCTGTCCGCTCCAGCGGGCACTGGGAGGCAGGCTCCTCCGTGGTGTCCTCAGGCTCCGCTGCTGCATTCCTTTCTTCACATTTTAAAACCGCCTGCAGGTCTGCATGGTCCTGGGCTCCTCCCGGGCACTCGCTGTCAGGCATCTCGCTGGGCGGAGCGGAAGTGTGACCGTCTTTGAACCCCGACTCCACAGTGCGGACTCTGTCCGTTCCAAACGCTTTCTGGAACTTTCTGTATTTGGGGCATAGAGATGGCAGGGCCAGAGCAGCCCCCTTGTCTGAGCACATGGACTCCCAAGTCTGACTAGCACTGTCTTGCAGGGGAGGTGACAGTTTTGTATTTCCTTGATATCCACGGAGTTTACATGGAGGAGTCTGAACATTTTTATTTTCCAAAAACTCCTCCACGTCATTAATTTCTAAATCCTTCTGGTCCAAAAGCGGAAACTGGAGGCTTGTTTTCTGACAGTGGGAGGGGAAGCAGGTCTTTCGTGGGCATTCTTGCTGGTTGGCAATGGAGTCCGAGGACTTGAATCTGAGAAACTGAAAGCAGGACTCCTCAATGTCGTGGACGCCTAAGAACTCCACACACCTGCACACTTCGTCCACGTTGTCCTGACTCAGGAGCAGCTTAGCCGTGTAGGCAAACTGAAGTAAAGGCTCAAACCCCTTCACTGTCACCTGTTAACGTACAAAATGAAAACAAGTGCATTACTCGACGGCTGTCTGGTTAATAATACAAGAGCAGATGGGACTAGAGATGAGTGCCTTACCTGTGACAAAGATAAGCAGGTGCTTTAACTGGTAAGACAACTATTCCCGTGGAGCAAAAGCTGAGGGGTCACGCTGTCACACACACCTCTTCAGGGACCACACCCTGCTCAGAGTCCACTCTGACTTACACATGTACCACAATGCACTCTCAGGGGAAAGAAAGAGAAACAGCACCACACTTTCTCCAAATGGGCTGCAATAAACGTAACGACAGCAGGAGGAGCCTGACACAGGCGGTCAACCCCGGTGTCCACGCCAGCCCACTGGCAGTCATATGCGAACACCTCCAGCTGCTGTCAGCCACAGGGGGAGCAGTTTACAGGTGAGAAGCAATGCAGCTAAAGGACTTCCAGGGGTTCTGATCCAGGGCAAATGCACAATAAACGGTAACTATTACCTTTGTCTCATTCCAAAAACTTGTAATAAAATTTTTAAAGATTCAGATTTTAAAAAAGTGAACAAACTGAAGTTCTAAAAATCATGCAAAGATCCACAGGCTACCAGCTACACAAGCTTTAAGCAGAAACGTGCACATCTGCACTGAACCTGCCCCTACACGGAACCACCAGGTGAAGTGCAGGAAAAGCCTCGTTCTGGGTTACAGACAGAACGGGTTCTTCAACATGGAGGTCTCACAAACATTCTGAGCTGCGAGTGCTGCACTAGCTTCCAAAGGGCTGGAAACAAAAGCAGCTCTCCCCTCGGACACACTGGCCAGCATGGGAATGAAGCAGCCCAGGGCTTCCTGTAAAGCTGGAACACACCCCCCATCCAGCCTGGCAACTGGATCCTGCCCTCTGTCCCCGAGAAATGACCTGGACACAAATGTCCACGGCAATGTCATCTGTACTAGCCAAAACCTGGAATGAGCCTAATTTCCTTTAATAGGTGAACAGTGAAATAAAGACTGGTACCTTCATGCTGTGGACTTCTACTCAGCAATCAAAAAGTACTACTGATATATGCAACCTGGATGAATCTCGAGGAAATTACGTGGGAAAAAGCCAATTCTAAAAGGTCACATTCTGTGTTATCCCAATTACATGACATTTTTGAAATGACAAAACTTTAGAAAGGAGAGCAGATTAGTAGTTGCCAGGGGTCAGGGATGGAAGTGCGATTACAAATGGTTCCTTGGGTGTGGGAACCACTCAGTATCTGACTGTGGTGGACACATGAACTGCACAGAACTTCCCACACACACACACACACTTGGTGCAAGTAAAACCAAAAACTCAGTAAGATGATGGGTTGTACTCATGTCAATATCCTGGTGATTATATTCTACAATAATTTTGCAAAATGTTTATTGGAGGAAACTGGGCAAAGAAGGTCAGGGCACATGCCTGGGGCTGTGGACTCGATCCCCAGTAGGGGGCATGCATTAGGCAGCCGACCAATGATTCTCTCTCATGCTGACGTTTCTCTTTCTCTTTAACCCTGCCTATCTCTGAAATCAATACAAACATATTTTAAAAGTTAAAATTAAAAATAACACCCCTAACTGTTTTTGGCTCAGTGGATAGAGCATTGGCCTGTGGACTGAAGGGTCCCAGGTTCGATTCCAATCGAGGGCATGTACCTTGGTTGCGGGCACATCCCCAGTGGTAGGTATGCAGGAGGCAGCTGATCAGTGTTTCTCTCTCAACAATGTTTCTAACTCTCTATCCCTCTACCTTCCTCTCTATAAAAATAACTAACTAACTAAATAAATAAATAAAATATAATTTAAAATAAATAACGTACATTATTCATCTGCTCAATAAATATTTTTAACATCCAAAATTAATAACTTAACATGTAAAATTTTGTGGAAAAGGTTAAAGAACCGTATTGTTGCAGAACCTCAGAACTGTGCTTTAACCAGCGAAGCATAGGAGACTGAACAGGTTCCATGAGTAAACCCAGGGCGGACCCGCTCACCTCTTCTGGGAGAGAAATGCTGCGCTCCGGCTCGGCCTGGCCCAGGACCCTCGCGTGGAAGTAAGTGCTGCAGGCGGCCAGCACGGCGCGGTGGGCGCGGAACGGCCGCCCCTCCACGAGGACGGTGACGTCACACAGCTCATCCTTCCGGCGCTGGTCGTCGAGGCTGAGCAGGACGTTGGCGCTGTGCACCGAGGACTCATAGGCAAACACCGCGCTCTCCTGAGACATCCTGAGTTGCGAGTGGGGCTGGGACGTGCTGTGAAAGCATTCTCCCCCGTGTCCAAGCTGAAAGACACGGCGGGCAAGGTGTCAGCTGACCAAAATGAACAGGAAGGCCTCGGGGACCTAGAAGCCTTACCCACCCCTCACTGAAGCCAGGGCTGCGAGCACGTCTCTAACCAACGTCAGGACAAGGTCTCGGGGGGGAGGAAGGGTTCCACGGGGCTCTGACAGGGAGGCCTTTCGTACTGAGAAACCACGACCAAGAGCGGGGGCCAGGACATTTGGGGGGGGGACCCATTCCTGTTGCTCTAAGATAGGGGTGTCGAACTCAATCAGAGAAGGGGCCAAAATCTAAAATCCAGCCTAAATCTCGGGCCGAATGGTTTACTGAACAGTCATAAACTGTCATTGTGATGGAAACGCAGCGGAGTGCAGTGATGACAGCGCGGTGCGGGCCACATTGCAAGGCCTGGCGGGACGGATTTGGCCCGCGGGCCTTGTGTTTGACACATGTGCTCTAAGACGTGACGAGGTGTGTGGGTCCCCAGGGGGTACGATTGAGGCACTGTGCCCCATGCTCTCCAGGCCCCATCCCCACCTGACAGCTGGCAGGAGGGCATGGTGCTTCCTAACAAGGAGCACAGCCCACAGAAGGTCACGTTCCTCCAACAGGAGGAGGAAACGACCTCTCTGAGAACAAGACACAGCGCAGGCCGCAAGCACAGCCCCCTCCTTGCTAGAACACAGGTCACATGCACAGAGGCTCCTGGTTCTCTCAAAACGTTAGGACCAGTTATCAGCAATGCGTACTTTTAAGATCTAAACTAACACATAGCAGCCTCCATACATTCTTATCACATACAACCACCTGCAAAGAAGGTAGCCAACCCATGTGTATCTGTGTCTCAGACACATATTACCGTCCTCACGTAAGACCTTTCCAAGCACCAGAGCTGAAAGCAGGAGGGGACTCGCCCTCGTGTTTCCTTCCAGACCCCAATGCCGTGGTGAGCACCCCCCATTTGTGCACCCCCATAGTGTGTGCTCCTCCCACAGTGTGTGATCACATGACGGCAGCTGAGAAGCAACTCAGGAAGCACTCCTGTGACCTGGGCTCTTGTCCCCTGACACTTGACTCACTGCCTAAAGCCTGAAGGCCCCAAACGCTGAGCAACAGAGGAAATGCTCCTGCCTCAGATTCCTCTCCTCCACACAGATGGAGAGACAGGACCACAGCGTTCAGACAGACCAAGCAGACCAGGCATCCACCTCCAAGACTCAGACACGGATGCTCCTAAGACTCTGTCCTACTTCTACGCTTGCTTCAAAGTGCTCCGTGTGGCTGAATTGCGAGTTCCTCAGCAGCAGTCCATGACAACAGCTCAAACTGTGCTCAAGCTCCACCCGACGTGAGGGACCCCACAGGAAATCATAGCAACTCCAGAATTACTCAGGGTGTGCCCATAGCAAACAGTCAGTTCCCCTTGCCAATTGGTCTTCATACTTCAGTTGACAACAAGGAATCGTGTTGGGAAGAGCAGGGCAGAACCGTAGGTCAAGGACATCACACACCTGCATGTGTGGCTCCACAGACAGTGCCTCCACCTTCTCCAGACGGCCACCTCCCAGCCAAGCAGGGCTGGACAGCTGACCCTCCAGCCACTGTGTCCCTGCACCAGTCCCAGCCTGTGCTCTTTGTCTGCCTTGCAACCTCCTAACACTATCGTAGCCTTACTTTTCTGTTGGGCCTTCACCCTGCAGCCCACCATTCCCAGACCCTCACCCCAACACTATTTGCAAGGCCCACTGCTACTGGGTGGCTCAACCACCTGCTTAGGCAGTTTGGGGTGACGACTCACCTCACAAGACAGCCAGCTCACAGATCTGCTGTAAGGTGAAGATGTGGATGACATGCACCCATCAGCTACCGCTCAGAGCAGCTTGGGAACCAGGCGGTGAAACAGCCCAGAGGCCTGCACTGCGCACACACACACACACCTGGACCCATCTTCTCCCACCAGAGAGCAGGGCGCGTCCTAACACCCCCCACACGGGGCCCTGCGCAATCTCACACCGAGACCACACACCGGCCTCACCCTGAGACCCACTCCCCTCATGAGCACTGCCACCACTCCGCCGGCTCTCGGCTACACCAATGCTGCTTGCTTTCCAGAGGGCTTATAAGCTCGCACATGCGCATGCACAGCTGTACAAACCAGAAGTGAATCCAAGTTTCGCATGCAAGTACTTTACCTTTACCAGTCCCAAGTACTCTAACTTGTGTTGTATAAAAATTTCCAGTGTGACCCTCTCAGAGTCAAGAACCATCTCCTCTTGCCCTGAAAGCGCATGCCCAGGGCTCACAGCACGGCGTCTGGAACCCCACGCTGTCTGGGCTCAAGTCCCAGCTCAGCCACTGCCCGACACATGGCCTGGCCAGCTGCTGACCCTCAGGGGTCTTGCTTTCACCCCTGTGAGGTGCAGATAGCAGCAGCACCCCGGGGCTGTCACGAGTTTCCGAGACGAGAGTAAAAGGGTTTGGCACACTGCCTCGCCCATAGCAAACAAATAATAAATATTAGCTGCTCTTCAAGCAACCGCAGCTTCTCTCCCCTCAAGTCCTCTGATCCTCTCGTTTCTTCTTGCACAGCAATGTCCTCCTCCCTTCCTGAAAATCCCGTAGTGCCTTCCAAGTGTCTGATGACCGACTTTAAAGCCTCAGTATGACCTGCGTGGTCAGATTTCCTATTTACCCACCGTCTTCTCGAGCCCGACTCCCTCTCCTGCTCTTCCCCGGCCTCACCGTTCGTCCTGCCCACAGGCACACACTCCTCCCTCCCCAGCTGCTGCTGCACTTGCTCCCTGGACCTCTGCTCTTCACTGGCCACCTCCTCACCGTTTAGGTCTCAGCTAAAATGTCAAAACCTGGCCAGACTTGTTTTCTGCCCTCAAGCATATAACACAGGATCTTGTCCAATGCAGGCACTTGCTTCTGAATGAATGACTTGATTTTTTAATACAAACCCAAAACCTCGATCATCAACTTCTTCTTCCAAACACAGCAGAGCCTATGGCCATACATACGCCTTGAGACGGGACTCAGAGGAATACCCTTGATGGCTTGTCCAGAGCCAGGAGGAATGGAAGAGCCCTCTCTCATTGCTCTGGGAGCTGGAAATACACCTGCAAGACAACAGCCAAAGAAGAGCAAGGCTGGGCAGCTCTGAGCACAGCCACCTCACTGACCTGTAGGAAGGAGGCCCCTCAGCCCCGGCCTCACTGCATGGAGCACAACAGGAAGTTCAGAAAATCAACTGCCCTCATTCTGAACGCCTCCTAAGTGGTCAGTAGCCCATTTTCACCCAGCAGTGTAACTAAGCAATGACTAAATCAGATAAGAATGGCACACATCACTCTGATATCATAGAATCATCTTCTAGTATTTCTCAAACCTAAAAAGATTTAACACCTCCCAAGGAATCTTCCAAAACTAAAATTCTGTTAATGTATTAATATCAAATTTAGATTCCTAATGTTACACAGGACTTTTTCTATATATACTACAGTTAAAGTTCAAAATAAAGGTTTGCTGACCTTAGCAAATTGCTGACTCACCCGGTAATGCTGACGAAGGATGAGCAGACATTTCACACTTCCTGTACCTCCATTTGGAAATAACTTCTGCTCTCTGCTCAACACATACAATATGAATTTTAAAACAGTGACCACTTGTTTTTCTTTCAAAATCATAAAGAAAATGAAAAATGGTCTGTGGCTTTATCACATTTTAATACAAGTAACTTTACGGGTAATTTACTTTTAAAAGCTTTTAAGCACCTCAAGTAACTGCCGGATCATGAAGCCAGGCCTGCCTGCTATGAAGCAGACACTCAGAAGATATTGTGTGAGGGTCCCGTCCACGAGCAGCAAAGAGCAGGCACATCACCCACCTCACGTCTCACGGGGCTGCGCGGTCCTTTTAGGTTCTCAATGTGGGAGGCACAGAAAGTTATCTAACACCAAAGATCATTTAGTAGAAAAAGAACCATCCAAGCATCTTCTGTCTTCACTGAACGATGACAACTATTATTCCTACAGGTGTCCATCCTGCCACACAGCAGGGCAGGTGCCATGAAAACAAGAGACAGTGCCCCCGTTCAGAACATAGCCCAGAGCTGCTCAGATTGGAAAGGATGCCTGGGTGAAGGAGAGCACAGTGATCCTTATAACCCACAGACACAGGAAGAGAGCATTTCCCAAGGTATATATTGTACTTGTAATAAGTCTTCAGACAAAAAATACTTCCAGGTCAATTCTCACTTAACCATAATATTAAACTACAGAGAACTATGATTTCCAAACAGTCCTGTTCACCAAGGTTTGGGGGAGGAAGGGGACCAATAAGTGACCAGCGGCCCTAGATATCGGAAATAGTGCAACAGGCCACTCTCCCAGCCTGTAACCTGACGCAGTGCCTCCATGGTAGCCTGGCTGAAGTCCTTCTTCCATCCTCACTGTTCTGCCTGCCTCCCCCTACACCCGCCTGTGGCTCTGCCTCCCTCAGCTCAGCTGCAAGGCAGGGTCTCTATGGCTCAGTCCCCTCACCACGCCTCCTTTGTGGCTCCCTCCGACACTTCGATGTCCCCTACACCAGTGGTCGGCAAACCGAGGCTCGAGAGCCACATGTGGCTCTTTGGCCCCTTGAATGTGGTTCTTCCACAAAATACCACATACGGGCAAGCACGTACAGTGCAACTGAAACTTGTGGCCCATGTGCGGAAGTTGGTTTTTGGCCTGGGCGAGTCTATTTTGAAGAAGTGGTGTTAGAACACTCAAGGGGCCAAAGAGCCACATGTGGCTCGCGAGCCACTGTGACCACTGCCCTACACCAAGCCGGTCGAGGTCGGATACAATGCATCCAGGAGCCCAGAGAGGGCACAGCTCTGGATACTAGAGGAACCTCACCTCTCTTGTCCAGTGGACGGCAAGGCCCCAGGGTCAGCCCTGGGCTTTCCTCCAGAGGCCTTTATAAGAAAAGCCATTTAAATGGAGACGTGCACAGGAAAGCATTTCTTTACAACATGGCTTTCTTGTCACCATTCCCAATTCTGAAAGAGCCTTAACAGCCAAACATCTGGGGACTTTAAGTCAGAGACATCACTTAAGTCGGCGTTCTTCCCGACGCTCTGAGATCTGACTCACCTGCCAGCGAGCCAGGAAGAAGGACTCTGTGACCAAGATTTGCTCTTTCCTCTCACCTTTGGCAGATCTTAAATACCACACTTGCTTAAACATCATATTTGATAATCATACTGTCTAAATCTGTTTCTCTCTGTCTTATGAAAAATCTTAAGTGTGAGTAAGATGCATGGATGAATATATCAAAAAAGGCTGAAAGAAGATGTAAAACAAAGTCTGAACCAGGCGAGTAGCAGAAAGGCGTACAGCACACGATGACGAAGAACTTCACAGTGGTGTATGGGAAGTGGGCTGGCAGCCCATGTTAAAACCACGTCACTAAGGATGCCCTAACGTTTCTTTAACGGAGGAACCGCGGAGGAGAGGGAGAATAATGCCGTTTTTGAAGCTCATGATTATTACAACATTATGAGAGGTTCCATACAGGGAAAGTTTGGATTTTTTTTCCCCCCCATTTACTCTTCCTAACATTAGAAATTACATAATCATGATCTTTTGCTCTATTACTTGGGATAACTCATACCTCAATGTAAAGCCACAGTTACCTTTAGAGAGAGCAGTCTGAATGGCTAGTCTGAGGAGTTGTCTGCAGGCTCACCTACTGAGAGGCCAGAAGCAAAAGGGAGGTGTGTTTTACTTCCCAAGCCTACAAACCCAACACTGAGGATTCTGGGTAGTAAGTGTAAAACAGCGTGGAAGGGAGGAAAGAAGAGAAGGGACACAAGAAAGCCAAGTTCCAGAACCAAAACAGGAGGAACTGATTCCACTGTTACACTTTCTTACCACAGAGAATGTAAATGACAAGGTCTTTTATTCGTGACCATAGTTAGTAGCTACTTGACCCTAAAGAGATTATTAAGCCTCAATGGAATATGACTATGGTAAGAAAATGTGAAATAGCAAGTGCACTTAGCCCATACTAATAAAGCTAATTTACTGAATGTATATTTTTATTGGTCACTATTTTATTTTATTTTTAAAATTTATTTTTATTGTTGAAAGTATTACAGATGTCTCCTTTTTCCTTCTATTGTCCCCCACCCTCTCCTCTCCCATCCATCCCCTCCCATCCCCTCCCACTCTTGTCTGTATCCATGGGTTAAGCATATATGCGTTCAAGGTCTTTGGTTAATCTTCCCACTCCCTATCCCCCACCTCCCACACACACCTCTTCCCTATGGGGATCTTCAGTCTTTCTATGCTTCAGTGTCTCTGGATCTACTTTGCTAATGCTTCAGTGTCTCTGGATCTACGTTGCTCATCAGTTCATTTTGTTCATTAGATTCCACATATAAATGAGATCATGTGATACTTGTCTTTCTCTGACTTATTTCACTTAGCACAATACTCTCCAGGCCCTCTGGGCTGTCTCAAAGGGTGAGAGATCCTTCTTTCACAGCTGCATAGTATTCCATGGTGTAAATGCACCAGTTTTTTTTTTGGTGTGTGTGTGGTTTTTTTTATCCACTCCTACTGATGGCCACTTGGGCTGTTTCCCAGATCTCAGCTGCTGTCAATAACGCTGCTGTGAACAGAGGTGTGCATATATTCTTTCCGATTGATGTTTCAGGGTCACTATTTTATTTCTCAACTTTGAGTTATGATTATGTTAAACAAACTGCACTATTTAAAGTATACAGTTCAGTGAGTTTTGACACTGGTATATGTGCACAAAACCACTACCACAATCAAGACTAGAAACACCCATCACTCCTCAAAACTCCACAGGCCCCTGAGATCTCTCCTTCCTGTCTCCCTGTCTCTGAGCACCAACCATTTCTTTATGCATTTTCTCTGATCTTGATATAAATGAAATCACACACTGTTCTCTGGTTTCAGGTTTCTTTCACTCAGTTTATGACAATCATACTGTGTACATCAGTGGTTGGTTGGTTTTCATTGCTAAATAACATTCCATTACATGGATATTCCACCATTTGTTTATCCATTCACTACTGATGGACAACTGTAATAAACATGGACAATTGCACTGTTTCCAGTTTGGGATTTTTGTGATAAAGCTTCAGTGAACATTTGAATGGACATACACTTCATTCTCTTGCGCAAATAAATATCTAGGAGTGGAGAGCTGAGTGCTGCAGTAGATTTGTGTTTAACTTCTTAGAAATGGCTAAACCGTTTTTCCAAAACAATGGTGTCATTTGGCATTGCTGCCAGCAGTGTCTGCAGGTTCCAGCTCCTCACTTTCACCCGCCCTGGCATTGCCGGGATTCCCACCTTAGCTGCCCTGACACGCACAGCACTCTCTGTGGTGGTAATTTGCAGGTCCTGATGGCTTTGATGTTGAACATCATATCTTTATGTGTGTTTATCAGCCAATTGAGTGTCTTCTTTTGCAAAATGCCTGTTCAGTCTCCTGTCCATTTTTAACAGGGCTATTTTCTTCTTTCTACTGAGCTGTAAGAGCCAGTAGAATTTTTTTAGGATTGCAATGAATCTATATACCCATATACCCACTTAGGGAAAACAAATACCTAGCAAATGGAGTTTTCTGATGCACAAACATGCTTATCTCCCATTTACTTAGGTCTACTTTAATTTCCTTCAGCATTATTCCAACATCTCCAGTAAAGAGTATCTTTTGTTACATTTACTCCCAAGTCCTTTTACTTGTGTGTAGTTACTATAAACGGATTTGTTTAACCTCACTTTCTAGTTTTCTACTCTGTAAACATAAAGTTGACTTTTTAAATATTAACCTGTTTTGAGTGGCACAGGAGACAGTGAGGCTGTGGGGAAAGGGAACACACGCTGCTCAGCTTCCCTGCCCAGCAGCACATGAACACTAACTGGTTTTCAGAACTGACAGTAAGACAGGACTTAATGACAGCTACAGAACGGGAAGGAAGTACTAGTAACCCTGACAGGTCGCAAGATGGAACCAAAGAGAACTGAAAGGAAAGGAGGTACGTCTAACGATTTATAATATCCAAAGTCTAGAAGGTACTTCCTTAGATTAACAAGACCAAAGTAAAAAAGATATATATCAATTTCAATTTATAGAGGTGACCCAGAACAGGAATAAAAGAATTATAAATACAGATGGGAGGGATGGTAGAAGCAAACAAAAATCAACAACCAGGATAACAGAAAACCAACAGATAATGTCTTCAGTTCATAAATAAATGAAGTATGAACATCTTAGAGACGCAGAGGTAAGTAAGCACTAAAAGAAGTAAATAGCAAAAATAAACAAATATGAATATCAACCATGAAGCATAATTAGAGGTAGGATGGGGTGCAACAGACGAGGCTGCTTTAGGATAAATCTCTGTATTTTTTAAAAACAACATGTATTACTTTGACTAAACACCCAAACTAAAACAGATGTTTAAATAGATAGCAAACCAAAAAAGTAAAACTGAGTGAAGTCCAAATCAATGATAACTTGGTTCGAGTCTTAATGCAACTTTTTAAAGACTCTACAAACTGAAAAGGAATTTGATAAGTGGGAGGGGGGGAATAACC